CCTCCTGGCCCGGGGTGCGCAACGCCACCACCCTGCCGCCCGCCTGCCCGCAGAACCTGCACGGGGCGCTGCCGGCCATCATGCTGCCTGTGTGGTTCACCGACAACTTGGAGGCCGCCGCCACCTACGTGCAGAACCAGAGCGAGGACTGCCTGTATCTCAACCTCTACGTGCCCACTGAGGACGGTAAGGGCGCGGGCACAAGGCCGGGTATCCCGTGGACACAGCCCACAAACGCTCACACACAGACCCTCAGGCACTGGCTCACCTCCTAGCCCCTGAGCTGGGCCTCGGTGGGGGCAGTGAGGGGCAGTATCTCCCTGTACCTCTGCACATCCTCTGAGAAGTAAGGGTGCCTGCCAGCTTGCTCCAGCATCATCCCACACACAGCCACCCTGGAAGTTCTTTGTGCCCTCGGAGAGCCATGGTAAGGATAGCAGGCACTCGGCTAGGCTCATCCACTCTTTCCCCAAAGAGGCACATAGTCAGGCACCAATCTCAATGTAGCCACTGGATGTTCAAGTAATCAATCCATCACCTGCTCAGAGCCCCCTTCAGCCTTGCTTCACCTGCTGCTTCTAGGCCTGGGCTTGGCATACCTACTTTAGCTACACTACACCTCAAGGACAATGTGGGCTCTTCCTACTCACCCTTCCCACCCCAGGCAGCCTGAAGAGGTATCCCTCTATCATGTGGCTCCCATAGTCCCTAACCTGATCTGGTAGTGGCTCTCACACCCTCTTGTAGGAGATTTCTGTCTCATAAAAAATTCTTATGTATCCCTGAAGGAAAGCTTCTTGCCAAGGGCACCTCCACTCAACACAGCCCAAACTTCCTTCCTGGAGCTGACCAGCTACTGTTTAGGTTAATGAATTCCTGTCCACTACAGGACTACTTATAGTTCCAGCATACACCCCCAGACAATTCTCCCCCCAACCTGCTGCACACCAGGATTAATCAGAACAATTTCCCACTTGTCTATGATAGAGGGTAACTGGCAGATTCAAGCTATCCCAACAGACAATCAGCACAAAGAGCCCCCACATTACCCTCTTGACACCCCCCTGATACTCCAAGACATGCCAATACCTCCACAAAGCCCTCTCCACGCTGTTTTAAACAACCATATACCCAGGCCGTTGGGTACTCAGGAACCTATAACTCACATCATATCCTCAATTGTCAAAAGTTGAGAATCTCAACTACTCAATACACAGAGCATGTTCCCAGCCATCATACACATTCACCATTTGCTTCAACACCCCACAGATCCCAATTCCCAATGTATTCACAGTGTACACATGTCTAACATTTCCTTGAAATTGTGTGTCCCATCACCCACACAGCCTGTGTTCCCCAGTATCCTTAGATATATAGAGATCATGGGCCCTAGCAACACACACATATACCTTATAGCCCTATGACCCCATACCTGGACAATGTGCTCCAATAGGTTACTTGTGCCACAGTCTCCAACACCCTCAACACTTACAAATTGTTTGCCATACATCCTATCTAGAGATCACCTGTGTCATCCCTCAGGTGGTAACAACACTTGAGGGATGGTACAGATTAAGTACTCAAACACCTTGCATCTGCATCCAGAATCCTTTCCTGCCAATCACAGAACAACTCATACACCGCAACCCACTCACATCCACTCACAACCCATATAGACAATCTACCCTGTATCCCTCATTCCATCTGTGTACCCAACCTCCTAACTACCCCTCTCCATGTAAACCATGCTCCCAACAACCTATACACACAGTGCACAGAAACTTTCACTTTAATGCATCCAAATTCTAAGTACTCTAGCCAGGCAAGGTTGGCTCATCCCAGCCACTCAGGAGGAACTTCAAGTTCAAGGCCAGCCTGGGCAACTTAGTCCCTGTTTCAAAATAAAAAAACAAAAAAGAACTGGGGCTAAGGATATAACCCCTGGGTTCAATCCCCAGTACCAGAAAAAAAAAAAAAAATCTAAGCACCCTATTCCCTCGTAGACCATTTATTTACTCCAGCATACTCCACATGTCCTCCCCAGTTTCTTAATAAAAGGAACCATGCTTCACAAGAAAACCGCACATTCCTCTCCCTCTTGTGGATCACTTATCCCAATGTCTTGTGAGTCCTTTACCCCAAAAACTCCACATAGACTGTCCATCTCAACACTTCCTGCTTGTGGACCTCCACTTTCGCACTTTCACATAGGCTCTCTACCCCATGTCCTTCCCCCAATCAAACACTCAGTACTTTCCACCACTGGACTGTCCACCTCAACACCTCCACACAAATGATTTGGCCCCTGACCCCACAACACCCATGCCCACACCTTCTATATTTTTAACTATTGCTTATTGCAGACCTGCTTAGAACCTGACACATTCAGGTGATCTCACTGAATATTCACACCAGCTCTGGGAGGAAGAGGTTGACTCAAGCACACACACACACACACTCACTTCATTCTCACATGCATGCATGCCCTGCTGACTTCATCCTCATCCACACCCTTTCTCAAAGAGGAGGCCCTGTTCCCAGTAGGTCCTCATGGGGCCATTATTGCCGGTAAAGGAGAAATCTTCTAGAGCTACCCTGGACCTTGCAAACTCCACAATCTATCCAGGAAAAAAAAAAAAAATCACCCGGGGGAACCCCCTGAGGCCTCTAGGTTCTAGCTGTCCCCTAACTGATCCCCTAATCTGAAGTAAGCCTGGTGCTAATCTCTGAGCCTAGTATGGGGCCTTTCCCTGATTCTGGGCACACTTTGTACCACCCAGTACCCTCTGCCCCTGGTACCTTGGATGCTAAGGTGGCTCAGGGCACTGTGTTTCCTGTTCCCTAATTGTGGGCTGAATCCCTCAAGTGGGGAGGAGGGCTTTTTGGCAATTGAGCAGGGGCTGGGGGTGGTCCTGGTCGGAAGCTCTCAACTTTGGTGGGAGGAGAGGAGGCCTGGGTAAGGGATGAGGTTGGTGGGAGTGTGGAGGGATGAGTTGGAGTGGAGGGCAAGACCTGATGACCCCTTTCCCTGCTTTGCCCACACTGAGGAGATGGGGTGAGAAGCCAGGCCAGAGTGTGGATGGAAGAGAAATGCTGGCCGGTGAGGCTGGGTAGGAGGGTGGGCAGCCTTATCTGACCTTCCCATAGCCCTCCAGTGGGGAGCAGAGGGCTTCTGAAGGCTGTGAGCAGCAGGGTGGGCTGCCCTCCAGCCCCATCCTGCCCTCTGCCCTCCAGAGCTGTCCAGAAGGATACAAAGTCCTTTCTGCGCAGCCTCTCCTCTTTACAGCCTGGGTGGGGCAGCAGGCAGTGCTTGGCTGGCCCTGAAGGGGCCTTGTGAGAGGTGGCCTGGGTGGCAAGCTGGCCTTGGTCTCCTGGGGTTTCCTCTCCCCTCCCACCCCACTCTAACATCCGTTTCATTTCCAGCAATTAGCAAACACACCAACAAGCCAAATCCTTTCCAGCCAAGTCAATATGTCTTAAGACAGGCCTCAGCCCACGCAGGCACCCCACCCCCCAAAACCCACCTTTTCTTTGGGGCATGACTTTTTCCGGGGAGGGGAACAAAATTGGGTTGTAGAAACGTTTTTCTCTTTTCTTGGTTTCTTTTTCTTGCAAACAAATTTTGCTTTTTTTGGCTTATTTTTTCTGCCTCCCCTCACCCTCCCCTTTTCTGCTTTCTCTCCTCCCCTCCCCATCCACCACCTCCCCCGACCCCCATCTTTCCCCACAAAATTGTCCTTTTTTCTCTGTTTTGTGTTCCCGGTCTTAGGTCCGCTCACAAAAAAACGTGACGAGGCGACGCTCAATCCGCCAGACACAGGTAGATTTAAAAATCCCGCTGCTGCATGTGGTTGCTTATAAGAGGACTTTCATGGCCCTGCCCCTAACTAAATGTCCCCACAGCCCTCAAGGCCCCTCAGTTGTTCTCCCAACTAAAAAAAAAAAAAAAAAATGAAAAAGAAAAGAAAAGAAAAATTTTTAATAATTGGAAAAAAGAATTATGAAAACTTCAAACGAAATTTGAACAATGTTGGACCCACTAGAAAACCTGCAAGAAAACCTAACCATGGCAAAAATAAAGTGGAAAAAAAAATTGGAATGTCAGAGAAACAACAAAGAATTGGATAAAATATTGAGACTTTGAAAGAAATTTGGATTACTTTGAAACTTGTGAAATGTACTATTTGGAAAAAAATTTAATTTGGAGCAAAATAACATTTGGAAAAAAAAAATTTAAGTTGGCAAATTGATGACACAATTGAAATATTAAGAACCTGCTACAATTTCTAAAAGCCTGTCAGACTCAGAAAACGCAAACATTCTAAGTGAATCAAAGAATTTGGAAATTTTTGAAAAACAGGGCCCAATATCTTGAAGTTTCACCACAAAATTTTGAAAAAAAAAAAATGCAAAGAACTTTTTTCTTTTTTTCTTTTTTTCCAAAATGGAGTTTTTCTTTTTGTTGTTGTTTTTTCTTTTCTTGTTGAATCTGCCCCAAGAGCTTCTTGCTTTTTGGTTGTTGTTTTTTTCTTTCTTTCTTCTTTCTTGATCCTGTTTTTTGTTGTTGGTTTTGAATTCTTGTTGCCCCAGCCCCTCTTCCTGCTCCTTCCCTTTCTGACTCCCCCCTCCCCACACACTGGGAGAAGGGTATGGGGAGGGTTGGGGAGAACCAAAGACATTTAGAACAGGACCTTGAAGGGAAGGAGATTCCAGCCTGAAACTACTGGAAAGTCAGAAACAAAGGGAGAAGTGAATTTGGGGAGGACACAGAGAGGAAGCTACCTACCTGGGAGCTCTGGCTGAAGAAGTCCAGAGACTATAGAGAAAGCCTAAGAGGAGACTGGAAGCTGGCTGGGACAAGTGACAGGGAATGTCCTAGTGACCTGCAGACTGACCTGTCAGAAAGTTTTTACCAGGATGAGAAAGACGGTGAGGTGTTGGGGACCAACTGTGGGGACCTAGGCCTGGCTCCAGTTGATGGAGTACCCAGGCAAGTCAGGCATGGCAGGTGCTAAGAAACAGGAGGGCCTGTGGGCCAGGGGTGATCCCAGCCCTTGGCATTATGCAGATCAGGGGGGAGCTGCAGAGGAGGGAACTATCTAGCTTGAGGACCTGGCAAGCCCTCTCAGACTCCCACTTTCTTCAGGAATTTCTCACCTCTCAGTCCTGTCCTGAGTGTTTCAAGGGCATACTGTGTGTGGCAACGATTAAGGGATCCTTTGGGGAGATGGCAAGAAAGAAGTTCAGTTCAGGACCTAGGGCTCAGGCCAGTTTATGGGTGTCTAAGACTCAGAGCTGCACCCTGGCTTCATTAGGCAGGCTCTTTCCCACCCTGCCTCCTCCTGCCACAGTAATTAGGCTGGGGGTTGCTATGGTAACTAGGGAGGTGACCTAGAAAGGAATTAGGGCGGGGAGGAGACCAAGCCCCCAGGGACCCTAGGGCCTGACACCCCCTCACCCACAGACCAGGGTGCCAGGTGGAGCTTGAGGCCCAAGGCCTGACTCTGAGGAAATGGCAGGACCCTCCCAGCACTTCTAGCCCTAGTTCCAGCCTCAGAGCACTCTTTCCAGGTGCAGGAAGGAGATTTGCCACGTGGGGAGGGGGTTACTGGAACCAGCATAGGCCCTGAGGAGAACCACTTCCCACCCCCGGCCTCTGTTGGGCTTCTTGGAGGTCTGCCCCACATTTGGAAAAGTGATTGGGGACAGCCTGGCCAAGGGTAGTGAGGGACCTTTCTCTAGGGCTAGCTATAGGGGGAGGGAGGGGAATCCGGTCTTGCCCCCCAGGGATGGGAGTGACAAGTCCCCTGTGCTCCTGGATGGTCCTTAGCAGACCTGGGAGCTGGGTAGTGCTGCTTCTGGTCTGACTGTGTCCTTATCCCCAATCCCCTGGCCCACCTGCTGCCCCCTCCTCACGCAGATATCCGGGATTCTGGGAAGAAACCTGTCATGCTGTTTCTGCACGGAGGCTCCTACATGGAGGGCACCGGGAATATGTTCGATGGCTCAGTCCTGGCTGCCTATGGCAATGTCATCGTAGCCACGCTCAACTACCGTCTTGGGGTGCTCGGTGAGGGTGGGCAGCCAACTTTGGGGGGGCGGAGTCTGGGAGGTAGGCGTGGTGGGCAGTGTTCCTCTAAACTCAGCAAAATTGCTTCTGGGCTGGATTGAGCTGCCTAGAAAGGGGGTGTGGATGTTGTGACACCTCAGGGAGCCCCTTTTCTTCTTCTACCTTCAGGTTTTCTCAGCACTGGGGATCAGGCTGCAAAAGGCAACTATGGGCTTCTGGACCAGATCCAGGCCCTGCGTTGGCTTAGTGAAAATATTGCCCACTTTGGGGGTGATCCGGAGCGCATCACCATCTTTGGGTCTGGAGCAGGGGCCTCCTGTGTCAACCTGCTGATCCTCTCCCACCATTCAGAAGGTACCAGCAGCCTGCCCTGCTTCCCACAGCTCTGACCCTACCTGATCCCCCTTCTGGTTTTTGCTGTTATGGCATAGCCTGAGGTCATCTTGCTCTCCTGCCAGGACTGTTCCAGAAGGCTATTGCCCAGAGTGGTACTGCCATCTCCAGCTGGTCTGTCAACTACCAGCCACTCAAGTACACGCGTCTGCTGGCAGCCAAGGTGGGCTGTGACCGGGAGGACAGCGCCGAAGCTGTGGAGTGTCTGCGCAGGAAGCCTTCTCGGGAGTTGGTGGACCAGGATGTGCAGCCTGCCCGGTATGGGGGTGGGAGAGGGCCAGGTCCAGGCCTTCACTTCTCCTTGCTGGTTCCAAGGAGGTTGAGGTGAGAGGTGCCTGTGGGCATTCCACTGGGCAAGGAGAGGTGGGCTTCAGGCCCTTTTACTGGCCTCTTAACGGCCTTTCCTCAATGGAGGTGGCCAAATAGAGTAAGTGAGCACAGGGTACCATGAAACGTTTCTGGAAGACTTCTGGAGAGGTCAAGTGCCCTGAAGGACCCTAGGAGGTCTTCAAGTAGGGGAGAAGGGTTTTCCAGGGGGTACCTGCATGTGGGCCTATAGGGCCATGGGGTAAGACGAGGCCAGTGAGCAGGTGATGAGACCCTGCCCCCTTCTCCCTAGCTACCACATTGCCTTTGGGCCCGTGGTGGACGGCGATGTAGTCCCCGATGACCCTGAGATCCTCATGCAGCAGGGAGAATTCCTCAACTACGACATGCTTATCGGTGTCAATCAGGGAGAGGGCCTCAAGTTTGTGGAGGACTCTGCAGAGAGTGAGGATGGTGTGTCCGCCAGCGCCTTTGACTTCACCGTCTCCAACTTCGTGGACAACTTGTATGGCTACCCGGAGGGCAAGGATGTGCTGCGGGAGACCATCAAGTTCATGTACACAGACTGGGCTGACCGGGACAATGGCGAGATGCGACGAAAAACCCTGCTGGCTCTCTTTACTGACCACCAGTGGGTGGCCCCAGCTGTGGCCACTGCTAAGCTGCACGCTGATTACCAGTCCCCTGTCTACTTTTACACCTTCTACCATCATTGCCAGGCTGAGGGCCGGCCAGAGTGGGCAGATGCAGCCCATGGAGATGAGCTGCCCTATGTCTTTGGTGTGCCCATGGTGGGTGCCACTGACCTCTTCCCCTGCAACTTCTCCAAGAATGACGTCATGCTCAGCGCAGTTGTTATGACCTACTGGACCAACTTCGCCAAGACTGGGTGAGGGCCAAAGGGGCTGGTGGGGCTGGGTGGGGCGCGCTGCAGGCTGAGGCATCCTCACCATCCTTGGCTGGTCCTCTGTCCTTCCCTCCCTCCCTTCTTCACATGGCCATCATTCCTCCAGGAAAGCACTTGCTCTTGCTGTCCCTTGCTTAAGCGAGACCAATTCAGACACTGCTGAACACCTTATCTGTACCAGGCACTGAGGTGAGGGTTAGAGATTCAGCAGAGTTAGACAGAAAGGTCCCTGTTCTTTCTGGGGGTGGGCTCAGTTGGTAGCATTAGCTTGGTGTCTGTCTCTCTTCCTCCCTTGGCCTCCTCCGGCCCCTACTGTGTGCTCTGCTTCTGTGTGACCATTGTGGTCTGTGTCTAAGTGTATAAGAGTTTGTATCTGTCTGTTTCTATGCCTTGCCACTCTCCTGAAATCCACTGACATTTCTCCCTTTCCCTCTGTCCCTCTGTCCTCTTTTTGTTTTTCCTCTTCCTTTATGATACTGGGATCAAAATCAGGAGACACTAGGCAAGCACTCTACTATATCCCCAACTTTTTAAATTTATTTTTAATTTTTTTAAATTTTTCTAGTTGAACATGGACACAGTACCTTTGTTTTACTTACTTATTATATGTAGTGCCGAGAATCAAACCCAGTGCCTCACATGTGCAAGACAAGCGCTGTATCCCTGAGCCACAACCTCAGCCCCTATCCCCAACTTTTAAATTTTATTTATTTTGGTACTGGAGATAGAACTCTGGGGCACTGAACCACTGAGCCACATCACCAGCCCTTTTTATTTTTTATTTTGAGACAAGATCTCGCTAAGTTACTTAGGGCCTCAATAAGTTGCTGAGGGGGGCCTCGAACTTGGGGTCCTCCTGCCTCAGCCTCCCAAGTTGCTGGGATTATAGGCATGCATCACCACACCCAGCTTCCACAACCCTTTTTAAACTTTATTTTGAACCAGGATCATCTCACTAAATTGCCCAGGGTGGCCTTGAACTTTCAATCCTGCCTCAGCCTCCCAAGTACCTGGGATTATAGGCATGCACCATAGCACCTGGCTCTTCTTCCTTCTTTGGTCTGTTTACTTTACGCTGTCTCTGTCTGCTGGCAGCTTTTACCCTGGCTGTCTGTCATATATTTTTGTCTCTCCCTTTCTGCCTCTCTTGGTCTCAGCTTCTGCCTCTTACTGGCTCTCTCTTGGTCTGTCTCTGTCCCTCTGACCTCAACTCTGGCTGTCTCTGGTGATCTGTCTTGATCCTTTTTGTCTCTTTGGCCCTGTCTCTGGCAATTTCTATGTCTCTTCACATCCGTGTATTGTCTCTACCTCTGTGACTTTTTCTCTGGATTTCTTGCTGTCTCCCTGTCTCTGCATCTCTGTCTTCTTCCTTCCCCTCTGCAGCTCCACCCTCCTTGGAGCCTGAGCCTCACCCTCACTCCTCCTTTCCTTGCCCTCCTATGCCCACAGTGACCCCAACCAGCCAGTGCCACAGGACACCAAGTTCATCCACACCAAACCCAACCGCTTTGAGGAGGTGGTGTGGAGCAAGTTCAACAGCAAAGAGAAGCAGTACCTACACATTGGTTTGAAGCCACGAGTGCGTGACAACTACCGCGCCAACAAGGTGGCCTTCTGGCTGGAGCTTGTGCCCCACCTGCACAATCTGCACACCGAGCTCTTCACCACCACCACTCGCTTGCCTCCCTATGCCACACGCTGGCCTCCCCGCCCGCCTCCTGGAGCCCCTGGCACACGCCGGCCCCCACCACCTGCAACCTTGCCTCCCGAGCCTGAGCCTGAGCCAGGCCCAAGGGCCTATGACCGCTTCCCTGGAGACTCACGAGACTACTCCACAGAGCTAAGTGTCACTGTGGCCGTGGGCGCCTCCCTTCTCTTCCTCAACATCCTGGCCTTTGCCGCTCTCTACTACAAGCGGGACCGGCGGCAGGAACTGCGATGCAGGCGGCTTAGTCCACCTGGAGGCTCAGGCTCTGGTGTGCCTGGTGGGGGTCCCCTGCTCCCCACTGCTGGCCGGGAGCTGCCCCCAGAGGAGGAGCTGGTGTCATTGCAGCTGAAGCAGGGTGGTGGCGTCGGGGCGGACCCTGCTGAGGCCCTGCGCCCTGCCTGTCCACCCGACTACACCCTGGCCCTGCGCCGGGCACCGGACGATGTGCCTCTCTTGGCCCCCAGGGCCCTAACCCTGCTGCCCAGTGGCCTGGGGCCACCACCACCCCCGCCACCCCCTTCCCTCCATCCCTTTGGGCCCTTTCCCCCACCGCCCTCCACCGCTACCAGCCACAACAACACGCTACCCCATCCTCACTCCACCACCCGGGTATAGGGGGCGGCATGGGGAGGCCACCCTCCCCACCCCTCCTCAGCCTGGGCCACTCCAAGGCAGGGAGTAGGACTTGGCAACGGGCTTTTCTCCTGTGGAGTTGTCACACATCATCGAACAGTGTTAAGGTGGACATGGGATTCCCCACTGAGATGCGTGTTTTTCCCATGCAAAGAGGCCCATTCTCTTCTCTGGACCTGGGCCTTTGAACATTGGGGGGTGTTTTTTGCCCTCCACTGGGACACCAGTCTTCAGTGTGTGGAAATGTGGAAGTCTTTTCCCACATGGAGGTGTGCTTTCTTCATGAGGGGGTATTTTCCCATGTGCAGGGTGAGGTTTTTTTTTGCCGCCCTGGACACATGTTGGCCCCCTCAAAGAATTTCTGCGGGGATTTGTACCCCAGAATCCTGTTTCCTCATGCCTTCTCCCACCTCCTCCCCCCTCCCACCCCCTGGAGACCCTGGAAGTGATGTGTTCTCATACAGTGACTCTTGGCCACCAGACAACATAGGGTGGTGCCTGGGGAGCAGCAAGGAAAACACAGCCCCCCCCCGCCTCCTCTCCCCCCTCCACCCCAGCAAAGCATGTTTCTCCCCCATGGCACAAGTCAGATGAAGCACGTTCTCCCAGGGAGGCCCTCACCTTCCATACAGACAGACACAGATTTCCTGCCAGGGGGAAGGGAGATCGGTGCATCCCGGTGCTGCCTGGAAACTAATTCTCCCATGGTCCAGGATACATTTCTCTGAGTGGAAACATGTTCTTGCATGTGGATGTGTGTTTTCCCAGGCAGAGGGTCCCTCTCTCCCCAGCACTTCCCTGCATCCCCCCCAGCCTCAGGCCCAGCACTCCTCACATGGCAGGTGGGAACAGACTTCAGATTAACCGAAGCTGAGGGAGATGTACAAACCCTGAGGGAAGGCTGGGGACCTCCCTCTCCCAGAGATGCTGAGGTTGGTAGACAGGGAATGTGGCATATGCCACCCACAGAGGCCATGCATGTTTGACCAAAGCCCTCCTGGGGCCTGAGGACAGCCTTTCCTTCAGTCCTCAGATCATTGCTCATCTGTGCCAAACTGGGTAGGTGGGTTGGAGGAGGGGAGAAAGTCTCCAAATGTGCCAAGGATTTCACAGTCCCAGGCTAGGACAGAGGAGACGACGGGAGCAGGTAGGATACAGGGTAGGGGGATGTGGCAGCTAAGGAGTCCCCTTGTTGTCACTCTGATTCCTGTGTCACCCCTCCCTCCCTGTCCCAGATCTCCATTCTCCAGCTCCTCCTCCCTGTTTGAAGCTGTCCCCATCTCAGGGTCAGACCAATCTTTTCCCCTACCCTTCTTTTACCCCTCCCCCCCTTGCTGCCAGGGCCAAAGGAAAAGAGCAGTGTGTATGTGTTGGGGGGGGGTGGTTAACAGGGAAAAAGGTTTCATGGACAGCTTGGGGAATGAGGTCAGTTGCACTGAGGAACAGATGGAGGGGGCCATGGGGGACAGGGCTTGTTCAAACACCAGCAGGAAGAATTTGAAAGGAAATGTGTGAGGCTACTGCCCAGAGGTCCTTGGGTTTGTGCCTCTGAGGAAGAGAACCATGTAGGAAAGGGTTTTAAGGGCTGGATGCAATGGCACACACCTGTAATCTGAGCAACTGAGGAGGCTGAGGCAGGAGGATTGCAAGTTTGAGACCAGCCTTAAGAACTTAGCAAGGCCCTAAGCAACTTGGTGAGACCCTGTCTCAAAATTAAAAATAAAACGGATGTTGCTTAGTGGTAAGCACCCCTGAGTTCAATCCCTGGTTCAAAAAAAAGAAAGAAAGAAAAGGGTTTTATGGAACAACAATAGAGGAGGGTGAATCTTTAGCCTGCTGTATGGCTTTCTGTGGGATGCTACTGCCAAACTTGAGTAAGGGTGGGGTGCCATCTTCTACTGGCACCCAGGTCCAGGATACCTGGTTGTGAGTCCCAGAACATTGCCTCTTCACTGTCCCTTCTCCTACCTCCACCCATGGAAACGTAGTTCTTTTCTGGCCCTTTCCCCTGCCTGGTCTAGCTCCTCTTGGAACAGCCATGCCCTCCAAATGCTAGCGACCTGGGCCCTGAGCCCGTAGGCAGATGCCCCCAGAACCAGGGCATGGGAGGGGGGCTGGGGGACCCCATGATTCAGCCACGGACTCCAATGCCCAGCCCCTCTCTCCAGAACAATCCCTGACAGTCCCATGTCCCCACCCCAACCCTTTGCGGCTCTGTACACATTTTTAAACCTGGCAAAAGATGAAGAGAATATTGTAAATATAAAAGTTTAACTGTTGGTTTTGCCTGCTCTTATGTTGGGGTGGGGGGCTCTGAAACAAGCCTTTGGAGTCCAAACCTCTAGACCTTTTTCAGTGAATAGCTCTATGAAATTGGGATTGCCTGGAGAGATCAGGACTTAGGTTTATGCCTGAGTCTCAGGTCTATATCTGAGACCAGAGCCTGGTGTGGTTCTAGAATGAGAGATGGGGCTTCAGGACAGATGCCAAACAGGGGAGAGAGCCAGTGAGCTGATCCAGGTGACTGGCTGCAGGAGAGGCATAAAAAATGAAAGATTTGGCCTCTGCCAATGTCTGGGCTCAAGCTGAGGCTCAACCCTGGGCCAGAGACTCTGAGACTAGTGCCTTAGCACATTGTGAGAGAGAGTCCCAGCATCATTGTGACCCGCTCACCCTCAGGACACTTTGGGTAAGGCAGGTGGGCCAGTTGACACTGTGGGCACAGGGGCTGGGGGCCTAAGGGCCCTGGTGGCCCTAGGGACCGCCATGGCCATGGCTGAGTGGCCACAGCCTGGCTGGGATTCAGATAACCCCAACAGCTGCCAGGACGTGGGCAACTCCATCCTGTTGCTGCTGGGTTTCATCATCTGCATTAACATTATCATCAATATGGTGACCCTGGTCAGGAGGGGGCCATGTGGGAGGGAACAAACCTGGGGGGAAAACCTGGTAAGGAACTGCCTGGGGTCACCATGTCCTCCTACACCTAGCTCTGGAGCAGACTCCGAATCATCTTACACCGGGTATTCCTTATCATTTGTGAAAAAGGTAAACAAGGTTGGGTGTTGGGGCATAGAAGGAACAGAAATATGTCTGTCAGCCCTAAATTGGCCTCTTGCTGCTCTTCCCTCTGAGACACCACCATGGTGCAGCTTTTCTCCCCAGGCCTTGCCTCCCTCCCTTCGCTATAGGAGCAAGCCTCCCCACCAGCCTCCCTCTCCCTGATTCACAGAAGCTGTTAACTCCTCCTCACCTGGGAAGCAGACCCATCCCTCGAAGAAGGAGAGCTCCCCTGCAGTCCATCTTCGATGCACCATGGACCCTGTGAAAATGACTGTGACCCCCCCACCCACACGACGACGACATCGCCGGCGAGCCTCTCCACTGTGCCGAGTCCACAACCCAGTAGCTTGGGCTCCTGACACTGATGATGAGAAGCCCCCATCTCAGTACCCAGCAATCTGCTCCCGCCACTGGGATGGTTCCAAGGACTGGCAAGTCTTCCAAACCACCCAGAAACTCTGGGATCCCTGGACACAGGACATTCTGGAACCACTTCCCCAGACTATCCGCTTCCAGCCCTCTGTAGAGAGAAGGCCCCTCAAAACAGAGATGCGGTCAGAGCTGGGTCTAGAGGCCTATGTATACCCTGTGAACCCCCCACCTCCCAGCCCAGAGGCTCTGAGCCATAAGAACAGTGGGGCAGGCGCAGAGGCTGAGGTAGAACAGTGCCAGCCTGCCTCGCAGCCCTTCCTGGGCCCAGCAAATGTCCCCGATATCCCTCAGCGCCGCTCCTCAATCCGAGTAGCGTATGATGCCCGGGATGTGAGGCGGCGGCTTCGAGAACTGACCCGAGAGGTGGAGGCCTTGTCTCACTGCTATCCCTTGGCCTCTGGATCCAGCACTGCAGAGGGGACAGGAAAGGACTGGGTGTATCGTCCCCTGACGGGGAAGTGATGGGGAAAAAAATAAAAAGGAGAGAGGAGGTGGTTTGTGGTGGTGTGGGGGGTGTGGAGGGCAGAGCCTATAAGGTACCCAGAAGCCCTGGTTGTTAAGAGAATGATCTCCCTAGTAAGAGGACCTTAGAGAGCTCAGGAGAACCTCATCAACCTTTTGTCCTCACAAGTCCTGTCCTTGGCCTTTTCCATGGCCCTCCTTGGTTTCAAGGCTTCTAATGACCTCTACCCCTTTTTATTATTGTTCTTATTGTTATTTTAGTACAGAGAATTGAACCCAGGGGTGCTGCTTAACCAGTGAACCACATCCCCAGCCCTTTTTAGTACCCAGCAATCTGCTCTCGCCACTGGAATGGTTCCAAGAACTGGCAAGTCTTCCAAACCACCCAGAGACTCTGGGATCCCTGGACACAGGACATTCTGGAACCACTTTCCCAGACTATCCACTTCCAGCCCACTGTAGAGAGAAGGCCCCTCAAAATAGAGATGCGGTCAGAGCTAGGGCTAGAGGCCTATGTTTACCCTGTGAACCCCCCACCTCCCAGCCCAGAGGCTCTGAGCCATAAGAACAGTGAGACAGGTTCTGTCATATATTGTCTGTCAACAATAACATCTTTATTTTGAGACAGGTTCTCATTAAGTTGCTTAAGGGCCTCACTAAGTTGCTGAAGCTGGCTTGAAACTTGTGATAATATAATCAATCCTGCCTCAGCCTCCCAAGCTGCTTGCTTTATGGCATGCACTGTGCCTGGCCAATCCTATTTTCTTAAGTGTCCAGAGAAGCTCTCAAATCTGGCCCCAGACCCCCAGATAGCCCTTCACTAGAGAGATTCCTTATCTCCATGGCCCTAGCTCCTCAGAAGTCCAGTTCTTGCCAGGCCAGGTTTAGGCCTCAGCCCCAGGGGAGACACAGTTCCTTCTTATACCCTGATTTTCTTGTGCAAGGATGACTAAGAGGAAGGGTCTCTAGTCCCTCGTATTTCTCCAGGAAGAACCTGATGCTCCTGTACCCTCCATTAGTCTTGGATCAGAAGATTAAATATTATAGATGCTCTCAAGAGGTACTTCACCATAACATCACAATCCTTTCCACGTTGCATGAGGCTCTGAGAGACTGAGTGACTTAATCATGGTCACATAGGCACCAAGTTCAATTTCATGGCCTCAGACACTCCATTCCCCTTCTCTTGCAAGTAGATAGATTCCCACTGCCACTGTGTCAGCTTACCCAAATCTCCCACCTGCCTCAATTTACCATGTGACCTCATCAGAATATTCCACTCACTGGGCAGCAAGGAAACCAAGGCATGGCTCTACTCCTAGAATGTTAGAGTCACAGGCACATGCACACACATAGCTTGGGAACACTCTGCTAAAGTGTTGCTAGAAGGATTCCTGGATGTGAGTAGATCTGTGGATCACCCTATCTCTCTGTACATTTACATTCATTTACATTCAACCAATATTATTGATCATTTCAGGCTGCTTCCTTTCAGTGGGTACATACTAAGCATCTACCATGTGTTTGGAGGCCTTTTTGGAAATGCTCATCAGCCTTTCCTCCATTTCTGCTGCATAGTTGACAGTGGGACCAAAGGACTTGCCACCTTCAGGGTACCATTTTTACAGACTGCAATGTTGAGCCTAGTTTCCATGGAGGACTCCATTCATCACATCAACAATAACATCTATGTTGTGTTTTGGTCGTTTCTTTAAGGTGGGAGTTAACCAGTTTTTCAACTTAGAGTGGGGATGGATCAATAAGAGGATAGTTGGTTTGGAAGGAGAGAAACTATAGTTGGAGTCTCTGGCAGGGGGCAGCAACCTCAGTAAGATGGAAATCCATCTGACTCTGAAGTGAAGAAGCCAAAGGGCTCAGGGACCACTAATGTCCAGGGCTGCAAACCCTGGCCAGGAAGGGTTGGGATGTGTGCTACAGGGATTGTGACAGGGAAATGGTCAGCATAGGGAGGAACTGTTACAGCAGGGTGAACCCAGAGGGGACACTTGTTGTCACTCATCCAGTCAGTCTACCCCAGCTGCTGGCCCCAAAGTAGCATGGGGTAGGGCATACCAACAGGCTACACATGTTACCATTATATCTCAAATGACCAGAAACTGAGGGAATTACACATAATTCAACCTCTGTGGAGACTATCTTATGACTGTAGCTACCTATTTTCAGATCAGGAATGAGGTGTGTGGTTAAGCAGGCCTCATGGAGACAGAAGGATAGACTAACCTCAGGGGCATCTGGGGACCAAATATCAAGTAGGAGCCTAGGATAGTGAAGAGCCAGCAGAGTGAATAAGACTACCACCTCTACATTGTGACTCATTCCTAACTTGCCTCATTATGACCTGGCTCCCTTTTCAGCTGGTAGATATCTCCAGGTACTGGCATGAATGCAGTGTGGGTCGGGGCCAGGTGGGGGGGGGTGGTGGCCCAAGTGGCCCTAGGACCCCCCCACCATGGAAAACCAGCTCTGGAGTGAAACCCTGGGGTGCTGTAATCAACATCAAGAAAGCCCCCAGGATGCTGAAGACATCCTATTCCTGCTGGTGGGACTTATCATTCTTGTCAACATTGGCATCAACGTGGCAACTGTGGTCAGTGACAGTTGTGGACCATCCCCAGGGGTGAAGAGGGCTGAGGGGGAGCCAGCTGCATCTTGTACCTCCACCTGCAGGACGGGTCTTGACTGGGGCTGGGGGTGGTGGTGTTGGAGGTAGGGAGCCTGGCCTTCACTCCCATCCCTCCCACCACCCCTAGATGTGGCATGAGTTCCAGAATGCCTTAGACAAGATTTTCTATTGGATTAAGCAGAAAAGTAAGTATAGCAACTAGAGAGTAGGACTCCTCCCCCCGCCCCAAGACCACTACCATGGCCCCAAAAATTCAAACCCCACTATTGCTAACCTGAACTCTTATGGCAATTGCACCCATCTCATGCACTCTTGCCTCCCCCAGATGAAGTCCAGCCTTTTGAATGTTCCCTCAAACATTTCCCAGCCAAGGCCCAAGACATCCACATCCACTGCGTCCTGGACCCTGTACAGGTGAAAATGACCCAACCCACAGGCTACTCCTCTTCCTCCTCTCGGTATCTCCACAACCACCGGGGCCGCCACCAACCACACCACCAGTACCAACCACGCCGCCGCCAGTACCAACAACGCCGCCAATGCCGCCAACGTAACCGCCCCAGCCAACAGCAGAGGCCTTGGAACCACAGAAAATTCTCCCATGGTCGCCCAGTCTTTCATAACCAAACTCACAACTGCAAGATGTCACAGCTGCAGTCGATACCCTTTTATGATATGGAGGACAGGGACTCCTGCCTGGATGAGGAGGATCTGTCCTTCCCACATCCCCAGAACCCAGGCTGGGTTCAGCGGATGGGACTGCCCTCCAACATGGGGTTATGGGGCCGCAAAGGTGGGATCCTGGCCAGCTTGCCACCACCCTCTATCTATCTGTCACCAGAACTGCGCCTCTTACCCAAGCGTGTAGAGGCCAAGTCAGAGCTGAGGTTACAGTCCTCTGCACCCCATTGTTCACAATCCCGAATTTGGGGCAACATGGAGCCTGAGCAATGGACCTCATCTCCACTACCTCCCCGCCGGCTGCCCCCTAACCCTTCCTGGGTCCCTGGGGGGCATAGCCCTTACTCTTCAGGAGGCCAGACACTGTATGATGCTTGGGATCAGCGGCGGCGTGGTGTAGAGGGCTGTGAACCCCCAACTACCTTGGTGTCCCGGAACCCCCGGCAGGAGGCCCAGGGCTATCGGGAACACTATTCGCCCCCATCCCACAGAAGGAATCTCCCTGGTCATGCTCACAGCCAGCCCAACCGCAGCCCATACCCATCCACAGGACATTTGGGTTATAACCCCCGGGATTCTCATGAGGTGCGACGCAGGGCTGCTGACTGGGCTGAGGCTATGCCTCCTCGGCATCCTCTGACCACTTCCACCTCCCTCACCATGTTGGGTGAAGCTTCATATCAACGGGTCCCAGCTGCTAGCTCAGCCCTGCTCCCTCATTGCTCCCAGCCCCTGCCTGAAGTCCAGGCTGTTGATCCTGCCCCAGTCCCAGCTACCTTTGTCCCACTCAGTAGGAATCCAGGTGGCAATGCCAACTACCAGGTGTATGACAGCCTGGAGCTAAAGCGGCAAGTGCAGGAGAACAGAGTACGGGCCAACTCACTGCCACCACCTTCCACCTCAACCTCAAGGCCCTCTCTACACAGGAGCCGGCCTGGGAAACTTAACTGACCCGCAGGAGAATGTGGGTGGCTGGGCAGGTCATGGAGAGAGGAATAAAGAGAAACCGAGTCCAGGAAACACTGTGGTGGTCTGTGGTTTGGAAGTAGCTCTCTTTCTGCCAGAAGGAGACCCTGCCCTTGGATTCCTGAAATGAGAAGTCAGTGTTCCCTTCTTGGTATGAGGCCGTGTTCTTGCCAACAAGACTGTCCTTGGGGTTGAGGCTGGGAACGTTTGCCTAGCATGCGTGAGGCACTGCGTTTGATCCTTAGCACCACATACAATAAAAATAAGCAAATAAAATAAAGGCATGCTGTCCATCTATGACTACAAAAAAAAATATTGTCCTGGTCTTATACCATACATTAAAGTCTCCCAGCTGCAGACATCAAACCATGAGTCTCTGAGCACTCACCCCGTTTCTCTGTTCTCCATTCCACAAAAGGGGTTCAGAGGCTCAGCCCTGCTCAAGAAACTCAGGTCAGACAGACATGGTGGTGCATACTAGTAATCCCAGCTACCCAAAAGACTGAGATAGGAGGATCACAAATTTGGGGTCAGCCTAGGCAACTTAAGTGAGATTCTGGTTCTAAATTAAATGCAAAAAGGGCTGGGGATATGGCTCAGTGATGAAGCACTCGCCTAGCATATGCGAAGCCCTGGGTTCAATCTTCTGTACAGGTAAGAGAGAGACAGACTCCAGACCTGGGATTCCACGTCTAGGCAGATCAAGGTCAGTGGCCCAATGTAGGGCAAGATGAAGGCCAAGGCTCTTGATTCCAGTTAGGGCTCTGAGGCCAAGGTTTTCCCAGTCTCAGGAGTGGTCAAGGGGTAAAGGATTCTGGATTTTCTACTGAAACTGCAGGAATAATGGAAAGATGGAAGGAGGAGTGTTTGTGGGAGCTGAATGAACAAAGTTCAGTGAGGCAATAATTGAGAAAGAGTGGAAGTACACTAGCCTCCAGGCTCAGGTTACTGGGACCTGGTTACCAGGAAACTCCACCCTGAGCCCTCCTTTTTCTCTGCCTCTCTCATTGTGTTCCAACCATCTACCCCTTTATGACTCAGGCCTTCTCCCCTCCCCCTCAAAGGAGTTTGTCTCTTAGTATGTGGGGGCCAGGGGGCCCAGGTAGTCCTGGGACCCCAGGCCATGGGTGAGCGAGTCTACTATGGAGCCCAGATGTGCTCTGGCACCAACCCCAGGAAGTGTCAGGACTTAGGAGATTCAATTCTTCTGATTCTAGGCAGCTTCATCTTGCTCAACGTGGGGATCAATGTGGTGATTCTGGTCAGGGCAGGGTCCGGGCAGCAGGGTTGGGACACTGGGATCTTGAAGGGACTGAAGTAGTGGGGGGTGGGGGCTGCTAGGATGTAGTCAGACAAGGACTTCAGAGCTTACCCTACTGCTGGAATCTCTCCTCTCCTGCTTCCCTCAGCTCTGGAAACATCTGAAGGGCTCCTTGCGGATTCTTTTCCATCATTTTTTTCCCAAAGGTAAGTGAGTCCCAGCATGAGCTCCAGCGATGTAGGTTTGTCACATTTTTTCTTATCTCCCTGTCCCTTTTCTCAGCCCTTCTGACACCCAGGCCTTGTTCCATCTCTCGTCTCTGTAGACAAGCAACATGGTGGTCTAGGCAGCAGGCCCGTGTATATGCGCTGCGCCACAGATCCCAAGAATCTGTACTCAAGAATCTCTTCCCACTTTCATCGTCGCCCCAGCTTCCTGTTCGGTCATGCTAACCACCGTGACTCCTGGATACCAGATACAAATGATGAAAAGGTTTCTGGGTGCTGCTGGATGCCACCTGAATGTGGACATGCTGGGCTTCCCACGGAGGCTCAATGGGGATTGTGGAAGGAGGGGATGATGGGAGCTGGGGAGGCCTCTCAAGGCACAGCCTTGAAGACCCAGGCCTCCATGTTTCCCAGGCCAGAGATTTCCTCCCACTTCCTGAAGATGAGCAAGTTAGACATGGTATCAACCTGTTTACCCCAAGAGGGCAAGACTAAGGCCCTAGACTATGGCCCAGACCATACCCCAGCCCAGGCCGGGACCCACTCCTTAGCCCATACCCCCGAGCACATCCCCATCCCGTCCCTGACCCACAACCCAGAGTATACCCATGCCCAGGCCCAGGATCTTGAGCATACTTCAACCCATAATCCACCAGCTCATGCTCCTGCCTTGATCCCAGCTTCTACTCCAGCCCCCAGCCAAGCCCATGCCGCAGCCGCTACCTCATCTCATGCTGCAGCTCCTACCCTCTCCCATGCTCCAGCTCCTATTCCAACCCCTACCCAGATCCCTACCCCATCCCATGTCTTAGCCCAAACCCCACCCCGTACACCACCTCCTACTCCAGTCCATACCGCATCCAGGGCCCTGGCCCAAAACCAAGTCCACATCTTAGCCCACGCAATCCAGGTCCACACCTCAGCACCACCCTCAGCCCAGGTCCCAGCTCCTCCCCCAACCCAGGTCCCACCCCCTTCCTCAGCCCAGGTCCCAGCCCCTTCCCCAGCCCAGGTCCCAACCCCTTCTCCAGCCCAGGTCCCAGCCCCATCCCCAGCTCAGGTCCCAGCCCCTCCCCCAGCCCAGGTCCCAGCTCCTCCCCAAGTCCAGGCCCAAGCCCACACCCCTCAGTACACTCACTGTAAGGCTCTTATCCCTGAACACACCTCAGCCCACATCCCACTCCATATCCCAGCCCAGGTGCCTGCATATGCCTCAGCCTATTCCCAGGGTCACAACCCAGTCCACACCCCAGCGGAGGTTTGGACCCACTCCCAGGCCCAAGTACCTGAGCGCACATCAGTCCAAACCCCAGCACATACTCCAGTCCATTCTCATGAAATTCAATCCTCTGCCCATACTGGGATGCCTGTTCCAACCCCTGCCCCAGCATCAGTCATGGCCCCTCCAGCCCGTGCTCCTATCCCTATCATCACCCCTACCCGCAACCTAACTCCTAGTCCTTCTACTCTGCCTGCCTTTGGCCCTAGCCTCTCCACTGGCCATGTGGTCTATGATGCCCGCAGGGTAAAGCAGAATGTTTTCCATAAGTGCAACCCTCAGAACTCTGGATATTCCAAGAAGAACTTTGGTACCCTCTCCAGGCCCCAAGAGAGGCAGGGCTTAGCAAGTTCTGAAACATCTGAGCATATATCAAAGCAACATGGTGAAGACAGTGCCCAGCCTTCTTCAGGATCTATACTGGGCTACCTGGAGTTGGGGAACATGGAATGGAAGATATCAGATGATGGCAAAGACAAGAAACTCAGCCAGTCCAAGACCTTCCCTTACTGCAGCTTCCATCCTTGCAGTTCTGAGAAGAAAAACACAGATTTCCAGGCACCAATTTACCCCAAGATCTTGGTCTATACTCAGGATGTTGCCCCTTCTAAACATTGCCTTCATTCTCCAACTAGTGCTCAGAGCTCTCTGACTACCATTCCTCCACCATGCACTCTTTCTCTGCCACTTGTTCCTCCCAAAACCTTTGTCCTTTCTCGACCCATCAACCATCAGAAGCCCTCCACCTTAATACAAGCATCCACCCTTCTCCCAACCTCTAAGTCTCCTCAGTCTCTCTCTGCTTCCCACTTCCCCATTCCTCCCCAGTTTTCTACAACTTCTCAATACTTGATCCAAACCCAGTCTCCTGAACTTCATGAGAATCCAAGCCGAACCCAAGATCCTGGCCTCCAGAGGACTCCATACCTTTCAAAAGACTCCAGAGTTCCCAGAAACCCAGGCCTTGTCCCAAATCCAGGCCTCCACAAGTACCCAAACCATACTCAAAACCCTTGTCTCTGCAAGAATTCAAACCCTTCTCAAGACTCTGGCCTGCAAAAGAATCCAGGCATTGCCCAAGATTCTGGACTCCAAAGGAGTCCAGGTATTACTCAAGATAGGGGTGTCTTTAGAAGCCCATGTTACACTCAATCCTCCAGCTTCCACAAGAACATACCATGTACCCAAAATTCTAACCTTCAGAATTTGGGCTTTATACAAGGCTCTGGTGTCTCTAGGAATGTTGAACCCAACCAAGACACTGTTGTCTGCAAAAATCAAGGTGTCTCCCAAACAACTGACCTCCAAAAGAGGCCAGGCCCTTCTCAAGATTCTAGAGGTTATAAGAGTTCAGGCAATGTCCAAGATTCAGGGGTCTACAGGAGCCTAGGCCAAGGTTCTAGACCACAGAAGAGTCCCTACTTTGTCCAAGACCCTGAACTTAACAAGAGCTCAGGACTTACCCAGGCATTTGGTCCCAAGAAGTGCCCAGGCTCTGTCCAAACCTCTGGCCTCAATAAGGGCCCGACCCAAGATTCAGGAGACTACAAGAATCTAGGCCTTATCCAAGACTTTGGACTCCGCAGGGTTCCAGGTCTTCCCCAAGATTCCAACTGCCGTAAGAGTCCAGGCCTTACCCAATCCACTGAAGCTGAAAAAAGATTTATCCTTATCCAAGATGCTGGAGTTTATAGGAACCCAGAACAAAGCCAAAATCCTAACCTCCACAAGTTCCCAAGAATTAATCGAGATCCTGGCCTACATAAGAACCCAACAATTGCACAAGACGTTGGCCTCCTCAAGAATCCAGGACTTACCCAGGAATCTGGTCTCCACAAGGATTCAGGCAATATCCCAAATCCTGGCCTCTCAAAGAACCCAAGCGCTACTCTATGTACTGACTCTGCCCAAGTCCTAGGCCCACTTCAGTCCCCAAAGCTAACACCATCCCTGAAGAAATCAATACATGAGATGGCTCCGCAGAAGGAGAATGCAGAACAGCATATATCATGTACTTCCACCCCAATCAATCAAAACTGCCCTTCCAAGATCCCCACTAACCTGCATACCTTCTCAGAAGTACCTGTACTAGTTGAGCTAAAGCCATCCTCCTGGCGAACAGACAGCCAAGGCTGGGTATACCGCCCTGTGGGTACAGTTTCTTCAGCTTTTCAGAGCTATCGCCAGATGTCAATGCCTCCCAAAATCAACAACAGACCTCACTACCCTGGACCAGGCTTCCGGGCAGGGCATGTGGTGTTTGATGCCCGCCAAAGACAGTTATCAGTGGGCAGGGACAAGTGTGAAGCTCTGTCTCCCAGGCGCCCCTGCCAAGAGGCACCCAACAACTTAGGGGAGACCGTCAGAGAGTGGAGATATCAGAATGTGATGAGGACCTCAGACATACAGGGAACAAAAGTGCATCAGGAATAAAGAGTCAAAGTGTTCTGTGGTTGTTTGACAGCATCTACCCTAGCCCTAGCTCCAGCCCTAAGGTTGACCACCCAGAGACAAATGGGTACTGAAACTGAGATGTCCTTGCTCCTCCTCTATATCTATGTAGCCACGTTATTCTTCAGACCCTAGAGCTACATTTGCACTACAGTAACCACTAGCCAAATATGGCTATTAAAATGTCAAAAACAAATTTTTTTCTATCTCATTTTTGTTCAAAAATACATAGGAAAAAATTCTCAAAGGGGGTATACACTTTAGAATTATCTAGGGTGGAAGTGAAGATTAGATCATAACTATGTATTCTTCATCAAAACTTTAAAAAAATTTTTTTATTTGTAATTGGACACAATATAATTTTTATTTTTATGTGGTGCTGAGGATCGAACCCAGGGCCTCGCACGTGCTAGGTGAGCACTCTACCGCTGAGCCACAATCTCAGCCCCTCATTATAACTTCTGTATTATCTATTGTGTTCACAGAAGCACATCTTTTATTAATTTTTTTGCAGGGCTAGGGATTGAACTCAGAGCTTTATACATGCTAGACAAGCACTTACTACTGAATTAACATTCAGCAAAAAATTTGATTCCTCTGTCTCATAATCTACACTTTAAGTGCTCAATAGCCAACTATAGCTAGTGGCTACTGTATTGGACAATATAAATCAAGGACATTTCCATTAGAAAATCCTGTAGAGAGCAATGCTTTAGAGTTAAAGGATTTCCCTTCCCTTTGTCACCCATCCCCAGCATCATATCATTATTTGGTACCAGGCATTGCACCCAGGGGTGCTTAACCACTGAGCCACATCCCCAGCCCTTCTTTATATTTTATTAGAGATAAGTTCTCACTGAGTTGCTTAAGGCCTCGCTAAGTTGCTGAAGCTGGCTTTGAAATCACAATCTTCCTGCCTCAGCTTCCTGTCACTGGGATTACAGGCATGCACTTGGTCCATCCCCAACATTTTCAAAGCTCATAGTGCCCAGAGAACTTTGTTCTTGAGCAGGTAAGATGTAAGGATGCCAATGCCTGTTTACCCCAGACTATGTAAAACCCCTGCTGGCTTCTTGGGTCACAGTTGGATGTATGGAAATTTATGTCCCCAGGTCTGGGCTGTGTTTTAGTGTTCTTGATTCTCCTGTTGGACTCTCCTTCTCAGTGACTAGGAACTCCTGAGGTCTAGGCTTCCTAAATTGACCTCTGGTTTCAGGAGTCTCCTCCTTTACATGCCTCCACATTATCAATGTGCTCCTGCTTATGCTATTGGACTTAGGCCTCTTCCACCCTGGAGACAGACTGTGGGCAGAAGAAATGTAAAAAGTCCTGGCCTGGCTGGGTGTGGTGGCACATGCCTGTAATCCTAGTGATTAGGGAGGCTGAGGCAGGAGGACTGCAAATTTGAGACCAGCAATTAGCAAGGCCCTAAGCAACTTAGTGAGACTTTGTCCCCGCCCCCCCAAAAAAGGAGGGGGTGTGTGGTGACTAAGAGGTAAAGCACCCCTGGATTCAATCCCTAGTACCAAAAATAAATAAATAACTTGCTTGGTAATAAATTGGTCTGATCTGAGATATTATTCCTGGTTTCCTATCTTTGTGTGTCATTATCCTGGCTCCTACTCCCATTTTGTGCTTAAATTGTGTTCTGGTCCCTTAGTCTGGTCCTTAGTAGCATAGGTTACTGAAAAGCAATTTCCTGACTTTGATTATTTTCCACTGCCCTGCTCCATTCTAGCTATGAGTTTCCTCTGGACCTCATTTTCAATCCTAATAACCTTTATATGTGCACACAACTGTGAAATTCCAAAGTTTTTCCTACCATGACTCTTATATATCTGAGGTGGGCATCATTTTTATGTCTTTCCCTGAATCAGATATCCATTCCTGCTTTAACATTTCTACCACTAATTTCAAGAAGATGCCTCTCCTTCCAGGGGGACCCATTCCTGCCTGACTCAGCTCTGACCTTGGACAAGTCATGTGCAATCTTTCTAAGCTGCAGTCTTTCCAGCACCAAAATGAGGAAGTCATGATTTCCTGGAAGTGACCAGAGCTGCTGGTATGGAAAGATCCCTATTTCTCCCCAGGCCCTAAAGTGTGTCTATTCATTTCTGCTATTCAGATCCATCCAATTACCTTTCTACTCCAGATCCAAGGAATGTTTGTGTGGGATCCAATAGACACCATAATATAACTCCACAGAAACCACAACTTCCAGATTGGGTGTGTAAGTAATTCTAGTGATTCGGAAGCTGAGACAGGAGAATCACAAGTTCAAAGCCAGCCTCAACAGCTTAGAGAGGCCCTAAGCAACTTAGTAAGGCCCTGTCTTAAAATAAAAAATAAAAAACCCCGGGGGCTGGGGTTGTGGCTCAGTGATTAAGTGCCCCTGGATTCAATGCCTGGTACCAAAAAATGATTAATTTTTTTTTAAAAAAAACTACAACTTCCATAAGGCACTACTTCAGCGGAACGGGAAAAGATGTAGGGGCATGGCTCCAACACCCTGGTAGCGCGGAAAACAAACTACAACTCCCAAGGTAGCGCGAGATTTCAACCTGGTGAAACCAGTGATTGAACTCTCACGAGAGGCGGGACAAAGCCCGAGCCACCCCTACAGTCTACAGAAAGGGCGTGGTCGAAATTTAGGGGCGTGGGCATCCGGAAGAAGCTACCTGTTGAATCATTCTGTCCTGTTTCTTCCCCAGCTTTACAGCTACCCCTAGGGGGTAAGCTACAGACCAATAATCCTGTTTCAAAAAAGAGGTAAGGGAGGTAGAGAAGGGAGTTTGAAGCCCAGTTACTGCATGCTGTAGGAGGAGCCCAGTAGCTACTTTTCACCTGCTGACACAGGTGAACCTGTTCGCGAAGACGGGGACCTGCAGAGAAAGGAGCAAGGACACAAGAGGTATTTGTTTTGAAGACTAAACTTAGAATCCATCGTCTGCAGACCCGTTTGTGCACTGTGTCTGGGGCACTTGCTAGGCATCCGAAGAAGGGAAAAAACTGAAGCGATTTTTGGCAGCAAAGGAAAGGCCCGTCTAGGCCATCTCCTGTGTTTTCCTTATCCCCAAAGAGTAGCATGGCTTCAGCGGTCTGGGGAAATGCGCCCTGGTGGGGCCCGCCGCCCCCAGCCCCAGCCCGGCCGCTCACGGACATTGACTTCTGTTCCGGGGCGCAGCTGCAGGAACTGACCCAGCTGATTCAGGAGCTCGGTGTTCAGGAGAGCTGGAGTAACGGGCCCAAGCCGGGAACCGACCTCCTCCGGGCTAAGGACTTCGTCTTTTCATTGCTTGGTAAGTAATCCTTCTCACCCGTGAGAATCCACAACCCTCCGCCTTGCCATTCCCCTCCCCTTCGGACGACGCCCTCACCATCCATTCTCTTCCCTTAGGTCTAGTTTACCGCCAGGACCCCCGCTTTCCTTCCCAGGCAGAGCTCTTGCTGCTTCGTGGTGGGATTCGCGAGGGCTCCCTAGATCTGGGACATGCACCGCTAGGTCCCTACAACCGGGGACCTCACTATGACGCTGGCTTCACACTCTTAGTGCCAGTGTTTTCTCTGGACATCACTGGGCCAGAACTGCAACTGGATCTGGAATCCTGTTCCGCAAGGCTCCGTCTCCCAGAGCTGGTGTGCGGAAATATGGTCCGGGAGGCATGGCAGAATTGCCTAGGGCCCCCAGTCCCAGGTAGATGTGATTTGATTAACCAAAGCAAAAGTGAAGGAAGTCCCAATGACCAGCAAAGCCGTGTGGACCAGCTGCACTCTTACGTTACTGAGCCTCAGCTGCAAGAGTTTATGGAAAAATCACCTAGTGACATTTCAGAGCCAGTGTCTTATCAGCATGACGTCACCGATCTTGGTTCTCCCGCACCTTTGAAAGTACTAAGAAGTGACGTCACCGGGGCTACCGTCGAATGCCCAGTCCCAGAGCCCGCAGAGACTCCGGAGGCGTGGCCCACATTGTGTCCCGCCCAGGTGGCTGCCTGGTTCTTTTCTACACTGGCTGCTGTCGCCGAGTCCTTGATCCCAGTCCCGGGGGCTCCACGCCTACTGCACGCAGCTCGCCACGCAGGTTTCACCACGGTCCTCTTGGCAACGCCGGGACCCCCGCGCCGCCTTCTGCTTTTCGACTTGATTCCCGTGGTGTCCGTGACAGGCTGGCCAGAGGGGGCTCGGAGCCACTCGTGGGCGGGTCCGCTGGCCTTGGAGTCGGCCTCCTTCTACCTGGTCCCCGGAGGTGGCAACCGGCCGCCCGGAGCCTCTGACTGGCATCTCTGCTTCGCCCGCCAGGAGCTGGCGCTCAAGGCGCGCATACCCGCGCCACTGCTGCAGGCGCACGCGGCGGCCCAAGCGTTGCTGCGCCCGCTGGTGGCCGGGACCCGGGCCGCGGCGCCCTACCTCCTTCGGACGTTGCTGTACTGGGCGTGCGAGCGGCTGCCGGCACTCTACCTGGCGCGGCCGGAAAATGCGGGCGCCTGCTGCCTGGGACTGCTGGATGAGCTGGGCCGCGTGCTCGAGGCCGGGATGCTGCCTCACTATTTTCTCAGCGGCCCAAAGCTCTGTGCGGGAGACGGCACAGCAGCCCTACTCAGGGCATTGGCCCAGCTCCGCGGGGACCCTGCCCGGGCCTTGCGTGAGGCAGTGGAGGAGGCCAAGGTTGCCCGCAAGGGGGGCGGCTTGGCGGGCATTGGGGGCGGAACCCATTAAAGACGCTACTCCTATCCGTGTAGAAAGTGTTTCCGTTGGTGATGAGACGTGGAGAACTGTTCGCCCCTTACATGAAGACAGATTGTGCCTGGGCCCAGTTTCTGTTCTAGAAGACCTCCTAGGGGATTCCTCCCCATTCCCCCCGCCCTCCGCCCCAACTCTGGCCAGATCATCCCCCTTCACCAAATCTGACCAGCATGCTTCCTGCCCAGATGTAACCTCCTGCAACCATTTTTCCCCAGTTCTTTTGGCCTTTTCTCTTAGGAGTCAATAGAAATAGGAAGACTTAGTTGCTGACAAAATGCAGAAAGGAGAGAGGTATGGAAAACAGGGAATGATCAATTTGTCTCACAAAAACATAAGTATTAAAGAGGCTGGATTTCACCCCGGGCTAGATCTCACTGCCCTCCCCCATCTTTCAATTTCTTCCCCCACTTTCATCATCCAGTTCTGTCCTCACTTCCATCCCAGGCAGTAGGGTCCTGCTCCATTCTTCCGACTGCTATTCTATCTGAAACGCAACCTCTCTCCCACATCAGTGTTCGGCTCAGAATTCCCTATCGCTCCTTCTCTGAACCCCAAGACGTGCGGCCTGGCTTTGACTCCGCCTGCCTCTGAAACACTCCCCTCTCCAAGGAACCCCAGGGTTCGGTTCGCCCAGCTTCACCCCCCCACACTCGTTCCTAGCGTCTCCGCCCCCTGCCCCGCCCCCGGGCCGGCTCTCGGAGGAGGGGGAGCTGCTGTAGCTGCCGCCGCCTCAGCTTCCCACAGCCGCTGCTGCTGCCGTTGCTGCCGCCGCTTTCCCTAGTCCAGTTGCCAGGCCCAGTGCTCTGACTTCTCCGGACCGGGGCGCTCTGCAGAGACACCTTTACTCCTTCCCTGGGGTCCGGGACGCCTAGCAGGGCGTGGGGGAAGCTCCTCTTGCCGGGGAGAGGGAGGGAGGAGCCAAGAACCGCAGCCAGCCGCTACCAGTCGCCCGGATCAACAGGACAGGACAGGTTGAGGGGCGTCGGGGAAAGGAAAGGGGGTGCTATAGGCAGTGCCGGGGAGGACGAGGAAGCCCTGTGGCAGGAAGCTCTGGTGCGCTGATTTATAAGGGGCCTGTTCACATTTGGGGACTGGTTGACAACGTGGGTGCACGCCTCTTTCGGGGGGCTGGTTAGATTGGAGGGCGTGGGATCCAAACAGCACCAGCTGTCCCTAAGGAAATTTAAGGGCCAAGGGTGGGGGGCGGATGCTCCTTATTTCCAGGTGACAGGGTCCCTCTGACAATCACCTGGTGTATTCACTGGGAAGGGTGGATTTGGAGGTGACTTCAAAAGGAGTGGAGGGTGACAAGGTGAGGAAAGGGTCTCTGCAGCTGGAACACTGTGCTACTAGAAATAGGGATAGTGGGAAAAGGTGTTCAGCTAGAGGGTCTGGGAATCAATAAACCTGGGCAGCCTGGATATTCTGAGATATTTGGGAGGATTTCAGTGAAAAGTAGGGGATCTTTTTCATTTAGAGGTAGCAAAGGAAAAAGCACCAAGGTTGGGTTCCTTCCTGACATTGACAGTGGCCCTGCAGGGGCAGGGTGAGCAAATTTCTCCAAAACTAAGGACCCACACCCTTTAGATTACAAGAGTGGATCTGGCTCCGGGGTGGAAAGGGGCTGGAAAAGGGCTTGGGGATATTGAGACCATATCTTAGAAATTTGGAGGGTCTTGGTTTGGGACAGGGGAAGTGGAAACAAAGACACTGTAGAGGAGGGAAGAAAGAGTTTTCAGTAGGGGACAAAATTTGAGGGTGAGGTCAAGTGGGGAGTGCATAGGCTGCTGAATCGGGTGGAGCTAGCACAGGGCCCAAGGGTGGGAGCTGGTGGCTCTGGGGTTTATCCTCAGGTCCTGTGGGTGGGGCGGTGAGTTGGGATCTGAGCGTCAAGAGCATGTCCTGGTGAGAGGGCTCCTCTGAAGGAGCCCAGGGCGCTCCTAGCGCCTGCTGTTTTGGGGGTGTCTTCTTCTGGGGCGCCATGGCGGCGCTGGCCAGTAGCCTGATCCGGCAGAAGCGGGAGGTCCGCGAGCCCGGGGGCAGCCGGCCGGTGTCGGCGCAGCGGCGCGTGTGTCCCCGCGGCACCAAGTCCCTTTGCCAGAAGCAGCTCCTCATCCTGCTGTCCAAGGTGCGACTGTGCGGGGGACGGCCGACACGGCCCGACCGCGGCCTTGGTGAGTGCGGCTGGGGCGGGGTCTCCCCTCGAGTTCTCTCCTCCTGAGAGGTTGAGGCCAGGGACTCTGAAGAATGGGGCCTGGTTGAGGGTGGTCCCCAAAAGTGGGAAGGGACGGGACCGGACGACAAAGTCTGCTAGACTGTGCCTCAGTTTCCCTCGCCTTTTGTCCATAACGTTAAGTCTCCTTGCTTTCGAGGGCAAGGGAAAGGGAAAGACTTGAGGGGCTAAGTCTGGGGCCGCAAGCCTGGCAGCTCCTACTCACCCCGGGAGTCCCCACCCCCACAGTCCTCCGCCTACGTGCCGTTTCTCGCGATTCTTTCAATTGAGAGCTTTGGGGCCCGGGGGTTCCGGACGCCTGGGTCACCCAGAGGGTTTCTGCAGCTCTGGCCGCCCCGCACCCACCCTGATTCTCCCGCTCCACGCCTAGGCTCGCTTCCTCCGGGTCCTGCTTGCTTGGCTCAAAACCAATCTCCCCAGCTCTCCCCCGGTGTCCTTGTAGCTACCTCACCAGTCTGCCCCTTAGTGGGACTTCCTCACTTGACCTGAACTACAAGAAGTCAGTAGGGGCAACCCTCCCCCATTTTCCCCTGCATGACTCCAAAATACGGGTCCGCAGGCTCAGGGGACCCTGAGCCTGGAAGAACTCAAACACAGTTCACTGCTAGAAAAAAGGCACTAAGACTTGGGGGTCGTACCACATACAGGGGGGATAGGGAAGTTGACAGAGAGCAAGCGACCCGGGAGGAGAGCTGTATGTTAGCCTGTGGTCCTTGTCCAGGTATGACAGTCAGGGAGTCCCTCTGGCCCGGCTCCAGCCGGTTCCCATTTCCCCTAGGGGTAGCCCCTCGCGTCCTCCTCCCCCGCCACCCGCAGTCCATAGTGGTACAGTCCGCAGCCCACCCTCTGAGTGGGAACCGGCCTCCACGTGACTCAGCCTGCCTCTCCTTCTCCATGGCCCCCTCCCCCTCCATGGTACCGGACGTCCCCCAATCCCAGGTGGGTTACCTGGGTGAAGGGAAGAGGCTCAGCCTCAGGGAGAACTAGGCCTCCGCGAGCCAGCAGACTGACTGACAGACAGACAGACAGATGGGTCAGTGTCAGACAGGCCGGCGCTGGGCCAAGGCAATGCCCGCGCCAAGCAAACGGCAGCCGCAGCAGCAGGTGCTGAGTCAGCGTCAGGCCCAATCCCACCCCCGCTCCTGAGGGGGAGCCCCTTCCTTGTGGTCACCTTGCCGCTTCCCCACCCCCCCATTCACAAACACTCTGCCCTTTCAGTAGCCCTGCTAGTCTTGCCATGCCCGCTGCTTCTTGATGTATCTTTCCTTCTCTCCATCTCTCCCCTCCCCCCTTCTGGATGAGCTGTAGAGTAGGAATTAAGCCATTTAAATAAATTTCAATAATTAAACTGAAAGCTGGTGGCTAGAAGAAATATAAGGGACCCAAACCCCAGCTTCCCCAGGAGTCAAGAGGTGGGAGAGAGCTTGCTTGGAAGGTAAAAGATCTGCCTCCCTGGGACCCGCTTCCTTTCCTCCATTCTCCTTTCTTTCCTGTGATCCCGCCAAGTGAAGGAATGTTTCTGGGAACAGAGATGTCATTTTCAAAGATGAATGTCTCTCTCTCTAGAACCTCAGCTCAAAGGCATCGTCACCAAACTGTTCTGCCGCCAGGGTTTCTACCTCCAGGCGAATCCTGACGGAAGCATCCAGGGCACCCCAGAGGACACCAGCTCCTTCAGTGAGAAGGGGAAGCCAGTTGCTGGGTGGGAAGGGGGAATATGAGGATATAAGATGACAATCCTATTCCCTCTTCAGGTTCTATTGTTTTCTGTCTGTCTCCCAGATTCCAAAGGGAAGCAGTGGAGCCGGGATGGAGGGAGCTCAGATAAGGGTGAAGTGCCTAGGTACTGATACTTCCTCTCTTTTCCTCCAGCCCACTTCAACCTAATTCCTGTGGGGCTCCGTGTTGTCACCATCCAGAGTGCAAAGCTGGGTCATTACATGGCCATGAACGCTGAGGGGCTGCTCTACAGCTCGGTGAGATGATAAGGCTGAGTGGCCTGGGGTACTGGGGACACCCTCAGCATACAACCTTCTGTAGCTATAGACATTTCACACCCAGGACTCCCCCACCTCCAGCTTTGGCTTATGGCATGTGGTCACTGTTTACCACAAAAGTTCTCTAGGATGTGTGCAATCCCTGCTCCTTACACAGCCCTACCCCAGGCTGTTTGGGTGTCCAATGCTTTCAGCCTTTTAGGGTCCTCACTTTTCACCATGTCTCCTCCAGACTTGATTATTATTCACTTCCCCAGAATCATTCAAGATAGGTGATGGTGAAAGTTGGGAGTAGAGAGTAGGGATCTTATTCCAGGGCCCCCACAAGTCTAGTTTATAGCCTTCAGGGGCCTCCTAAGCTCTTTCTTATCCTCCTTTTGCTCTCAGTTCAGTGGTTGCCCTCCTCTTCTCCCAAAAATGTATAGATTATATCCTGGTTTGTTCATCCCAAGGGCTTCCTTCTGCCAGTGATGTGTCTTTTTGTCTCTCTGTGTGTGCCTTTCTGGGTCTTTGTCTCCTCAGCCACATTTCACTGCCGAGTGTCGCTTTAAGGAGTGTGTCTTTGAGAATTATTATGTCCTGTATGCTTCTGCTCTCTACCGTCAGCGCCGTTCTGGCCGAGCCTGGTACCTAGGCCTGGATAAGGAGGGCCGGGTCATGAAGGGAAATCGAGTCAAGAAGACCAAGGCAGCTGCCCACTTTGTGCCCAAGCTCCTGGAGGGTGGGTATGGACTCAAGAAAAGGTGGGCCATGTGGGAGGGTATTGACCTTGACGTGAACATTTAGTGATACACAGCTAAGGTTATGAATATTAAGAGAATACAGTTAGCAGGGTGTAGTGGTGCATGCTTGTAATCCCAGACTGGGGAGGCTGAGGCAGGAAGATTGCAATTTTGAGGCCAGCCTTGGTAATTTAATAAAAATGGTTGGGATGTAACTCAGTGGTAGAGTCCCTGGCTCAATCCCAAGTATCACAAGAAAAAAAAAAAAAAGAGGATGTGTTATGACAGATCATGCTGGGAAGGCTTTGGCCTTTTGGATTTGGGGGGCTTTCCTCCTTTGGGTTGGGGTTCTTTGGGCAAGTGTAGGGGGAAGGGAGCCCTCTCAGAGCTCTGGTTTTGCCCTGGTCTCTCTGTGCCTAACTCTCCTTCCCTGCTCCTCTCTCTCTCCCCTCCACAGTGGCCATGTACCGGGAGCCTTCTCTCCACAGTGTCCCTGAGACTTCCCCTTCCAGTCCCCCTGCCCCCTGAAATATAATCTCTGGACTGGAGGCTCCCTGAATTCCCAGTGAGCCAGCCACCACCACAGCCTGTCTCCCAGCCCTGCTCCCGGCCCTGCTCTCACCCCTGCTGCCACACACATGCCCTGAGCAGCCAGGTCCCACCAGGTACTCTACACTGAGGGAACCTAGGGGCTGGCTAGGACTTCCAGGGCTGTTGAGACTTTTAGATCCTTGAGTCGGGGGTGGGGGGCAGATATCTGATTATAGTCTGGCTGATCACTTATTTCCATATTCATACTCGTCCCCCAAAGCCTTTTCTCAAGATGGCATTAGGAGTTCCAAAACTGACAGAGCCAGGGCATAAACTACTCCCTGGCTTAGCCACTTCCTGGATCCTTGTACCCCCTTTCATTGCCACTGAGCCATAGGTCCACTGAAGCTCAGGATCATTTTTCTTCTTTCCCTATTCTACCTTCTGCCTTGTCTGGTCAGGTTCTGAAATACCAAACACCCCAGCCAGGGCCATTTCTGTACTAGGGCTCTGTGCTAGAACTTAGGCATGCTGCCAGGTTCTGTTCTGGATCCATCAAGCTTCCATCCTTAGCCCAGTTGGACCCTTAGCCTTCAAGTAGAGAGACTGGATTTAAGCCCTGTCAAGATGTTGACCTTGGCCTGAACTGGGACCACTCTCAGATCACCACAGGTTTAACCTTCTTATCCCAGAGATATTCAGGTCTAGAGCACAGTGTTCTAGACCTTTATGGAGCCATAATTCCTCCTGAATTATAGCTCTAGAACATATGCCATGACTTTCAGACCTCTTTCCAGGATGGAACTGGGGGCCTATATAGCCATATTAGCTCTAGAGTCTTGAATTCTAGACCTACTTTCTCACTTCTAGTGATACCTATTAAGAATGAGCTCTGAAAAGGACCCAGCTATGATTCATAAAGAACTAATTAGTTCTGATTGAATAAAGAACCACTTATTTTCCTGGATAATTTTCTAAAAAATTTTATTCTTCCATGTAGAATGCTAACCTTATTTTTACATGCAGTTCCATCCAGCCTCTGCAACCCAGCCGGGGTCCTGCCAGGGAAAAGTCTGGGAAAGGGCAGAAGAATTTTGAAAGTATCCCTGACCCAGAAAGCTGGGAGGGGAAAGGAAACAAAAACCATGGCATAATTGAATCTGTGTCTGGGTTGGGGGGACATGAACACTTAGCTACCTCAGCAGGAATTCCTTCCAGGTCCCCTTTAAAGCTGAGGTTTTTAGGGCAATAGGTAGGTCTAGAATTAAAAGGACAAATGGGACACAGCCTTGATGCCCCTCCCCACGAGGATACTCCAATTCAGCAATAAGTCCCACCCCTCTCCCCTACAGGTCAGGCCAAGGAGGGTGAGGGCCTCTTAAGCTGGAGACCTTATGCACCCCTAGAGCTTCTAAGTGAATAGACTTGCTTTACTTTACAGCTTATAACCTCAGCTGGGTTTTAAGTACCCAAAGGGCCTGACTAGATTTTTCTGAAAAACGGACAACAAGGCCTGGAAAGAACTGGGAACCCATTAGTGAACTATATTCCCAAGCGCCACAGACCTGGACGGGATAGATTGAGACCCTAAGCAAGGGGCTAGTGCTCAAAGACAGGTCACTTTTTCTCAGGCTCTTTTACTTCTGGCTTGTTGCAAGGGGGGTAGGTTCCCCCCTCACCCACACAAACCCTGCTCCGGCTCCACCCATCTCCTGACACTTCACCCAGGGGACTGGGTCACCATTCTACGCTTTCAAATTAAAGTCAGTTTATACAACTGAAGTATTGTCTGTCATCTCTGAGTGGCTGGCGATGGCAGTTGCTCGGGGCGGAACCAATCCCGGGGGCGGGGCTGGTGGGGTGGCAGCTGCCCCCCAACGACAGGTGCACATTCCTGGGCGCCTCGTCACTTCCCCTGCGCTGGTTGCCTCAGCAGCTTCCCAGGCGAACTCACTGAGCGCCGCGACCAGACTATGACACCAGGGGTGCTGCTATTGCTTCTGGGGGTCCTGGGGGTGCTGCTCGCCCCAGGTAAGTACGTCTAAATCCTGAGGAGGCAGTGACTGGAGCAACGGTTGTGAACAGGCACCAGGGCTTCACTTAATGCTCTTCTCCCACAGGCGCCCACGGCTCAGAGGCAGAGGGCCAACTCCGCGAGAAACTTTTCTCGGGCTATGATAGTTCTGTACGGCCGGCGCGCGTGTTGGGTGACAGCGTCGAAGTCAGCATTGGTCTTACCCTAGCGCAACTCATCAGCCTGGTGAGGGCGCACGCTGGGGGTTGGGGTCTGGCCTGTGGAATGGGGGGGGCGTGGCTTTGGGGCATGGCAGGGCCAATGGTCAATCTGGGGGCGGGGGCTTAGGCGTGGCCAGGCTGAGGGATGGACAACCTTTTAGTGGCGATTGGATAGAAATTGGACCAATGAATAAGTTTATAGGCGTGGCTTGTGGACCAGCCCCGAGTGGAGCCAAGTAGGACGCTGTACCGGTTTGTGGGCGGATCTTGAAGTGGAGCTGTGGCGGGCTGATGGGCAGGGGGGGCGGATCCTTAGGAGGAGCCGTCGAAGGCTTCGCCAGGGTGGGGCGGAGTTTGGTGCCCCACGGGTCAATAAACAGCTGCAGACGGAAATTCAGGGTTGGGTGGATTACGAGCTGTGGGCGGGACCCGGGGCAAGTCTGGGGAAGGGGGCGAAGCTGATAGGAAAACAAGCTGAGAGTGTAGATAGCAGGAAGGGGTGTTTCTGAGGTAGAGGCGGGGTTTAAGCTAACGCAGCTTTTAGGAGTTTGGACTTGGACCCTAGACGGTGGGCTTCAAGGAAAAGGGGTTGCAGTTTCCAAGGAGAGGTTAACCTGCCAAGCCCTCATTTTTCTCCACTTAACTTTGCCTTTACGCTTTAAAAATTTTCCCTTCTAGAACGAAAAGGATGAAGAGATGAGCACAAAGGTGTATTTAGACCTGGTATGAAGACCCCATGGGGAAGGGCTTCTCGCTGGGGGCGGGGATGGGTGGGGAGGGCGTCTCGCTATCTTTATAATTTACTCGAATGTCTGGCCGAATAAGATTTTTTTTTTTGTATCACGACCTCAGAAAACACATATAACTGAAACAGAAGCTTTAGAAAACAATACCTACAGGGATAGGTATTGCATTTTTTATTCCAACTTTTTAAAACACTGCTTTAGGACCACTACCTTGGATCCCCATCCACTAAAGTGTCATGAACTGCATTTTGGGAAAACCACTATGCATGTGCGAAGTCCTGGGTTCAATAAGCAGTATCCAAAAAAAAAAAAAATAAGCAGTATCCATTCCACTCACTGCCTCCCCCCCTCCATACACACACACACAAAGAAAGGAAAAAAACAAAAAGTCAAAACAACAACAAAAACCCACCTTGGTGCAACCTCTTGGTGGTGCAACTACTTCTTTTTCATTGAACCCAGGGGCGATGTACCAATGATCTACATTACCAGTCTTTCTTTTATTTTTATTATTATTTTGCGTCAGGGTCTTGCTAAGTTGTCCAGGTTGGCCTCGGATTTTCAATCCTCCTGCCTCAGTTTCCCAAATGGCTAGGAGATAGGCATGCGCCTCTCTTCATTTTTCCAGACTTAAAAAACTGAGACCCACAACTGAGAGGAAAATAAGCTAGTGTGAATACCAAAGAGTGAAGACAGACCCCAAATCAGAACCTGACTCCTTGACATGCCTGCACTTCTCCACTCCCTTGCACTCCCTTCCTGTATTTCTAGCCCCAAACAGCCCCTTAGCCTGTGCTTCCCTAGGAGTGGACTGACTACAGGCTGAGCTGGGACCCAGCAGAGCACGATGGCATCGATTTGCTCCGCATCACGGCAGAATCAGTATGGCTACCTGATGTGGTGTTGATGAACAAGTAGGGTATTTTCCAAAGCCTGGGAGGTGGGGTGGGAACTCAAGAGGGGTGGGGCCTCCGAAGACTGGGATTCCAGATGAGAGGATCCTTTCTCTGCAGCAATGATGGAAATTTTGATGTTGCTCTGGACATTGATGTTGTGGTGTCTTCAGATGGCTCAGTCCGCTGGCAACCCCCAGGCATCTATCGCAGCAGCTGCAGCATCCAGGTTTCTGAGCCCCACCTGGGAAGCTAAAGTTGCTCTTAAAAACTCTTGCTCTCCTCCGACATCCTGACTTTTCAGGGGCTCCCATTCCTCCTCCATTATCCCCTATGACCTCATCTCCTGGCTTTTCACTAAGTGTTCTTTTCTCCATAGACTTTCTTGACTCCTACTCTTTCTCAGTGACCTTCCACCATTTCCCAAATGGCCTTTGTTAGTAGCCCTCCAATTCCTCTTTGACCTCATTTCCCTGTTCCCCCAAGGACCTCCCCAGTGACCTTCCAAATTGAAGGAAGTCCTGACCAGTTCTCTGGCAGCTAGATAGATTCTCCCTTCCATCCAGGTCACCTACTTCCCCTTTGACTGGCAAAACTGCACCATGGTGTTTAGTTCCTACAGTTATGACAGCTCAGAGGTCAGTCTGCATACAGGCCTGGGTTCTGATGGGCTGGAGCGGCAGGAAATCTACATTCATGAAGGGACATTCATTGGTAAGTGGGGATGACTTCCTCACCCTTAGGCTTTCTGATTTCCAGTTTGTAACAGGCAGGTAAATATACTCTGTCAGCAATGTCCAGTGTAACCTTTTGGAGTCAGCAAGGTAGGTATGACTATCAACACTGTACAAATATAGAAACTGAGAAGTAGTTAAGTTTATTAGAGATAGCTGCCCACTACAGTGTTGCATACCTGGAACTGACTAGGACAATTCTCATAGGTATCTCCTTCTGTTTCCTTCTCCCTCAGAGAATGGCCAATGGGAGATTATCCACAAGCCTGCTAGGCTAATCCAGCCTCCAGGGGATCCTAGGGGAGGGAGGGAAGGACAACATGAGGAAGTCACCTTCTACCTCATCATCCGCCGGAAGCCTCTCTTCTACCTGGTCAATGTCATTGCCCCGTGTATCCTTATCACTCTCTTGGCCATCTTTGTCTTCTACTTGCCACCGGATGCAGGTAAGGGGGAAGGGGCCCTAGCTCTTCTCATTAGCTCAGCTTCTTTCTCTTCACCCTTAATGCAGACCACGATTTTCTAAATCACCATTGATTAGATTCATCAATCCCTGGTTTTCCTTCTCACCCTGTAGACCCAACATTAGGCTCTACATTCCCTTTGCTGCTGGTTTCCCTTCACCCAGTGACTTCTGAATTCTTTCCTTTAGAGTCATAGCCACTTGTGTAGTTTTCTGACCAGCCAAATCCCATGTTGAGCCAATCTCCTCTTCCCTTTCCCCTTTCCTAGCAACCCTCCACCCCTACTTTTTGGACACTATGCCTAAACTTTTTACCTGCCTGAGAAATATAATAGTATTTCTCTAGCAGGAAGCAAAATGTAGTAACAGAGTAACCTTGGGTAAATTTCTTAATTTTTGTGTGTATTAGTTTCCTGATGAAGACAATCATTGTCCCTACCACATAGGATTATTTTGAGAATTGACTGACTTAATAAAACTATGCCTGGTACTCAGTACATTCTGTGATTATAGCTTTTTTTTAAACTAGGAATTGAACCCAGGATTGCTTAGCCACTGAGACACATCCCCAATACTTAAAAAATTTCAGCAGGGTCTCCCTAAGTTTCTGTGGCTGGCCTTGAACTTGTGATCCTCCTGCCTCAGTCTCCCAAGCCACTGGAATTAAAGATGTACACCACCATGCCCATATATATATATTTTTTTTACTATTTTTAAGCACTTACTATAAGGTTATACAATTAACATGTTATTTGATTCTAATCTTTACAATAATACTTCACAGTAAGTACTAAATTATCACTCTCATTTTGCAAAGGATAAAGAGGCTGAGAGTTTAAGTCATTTATCTGACATCACACAGTAAAAGTGATAGTGTTGTGGGGCTGGGGATGTGGCTTAAGCGGTAGCGCGCTCGCCTGGCATGTGTGCGGCCCGGGTTCGATCCTCAGCACCACATACAAACAAAGATGTTGTGTCTGCGGAAAACTAAATATTAAAAAATTCTAAAAAAAAAAAAATTTTTAAAAAAGTGATAGTGTTGTTATTCCAGCCCTAGTCAGTGCCAATCTGGTTGAGAGACCCAGTATCCTTAACTCTAGTATTCAAAACATTTTTTTTCTTTTATCTGGAGGTGGTTGGCTGCTTTCCTTATAGTAAATAAAAAATAAAAATGGAACTGGGTATGGTGGTGCATGCCTTGTAATCTCAGCAACTTGGGAGGCTGATGCTGGAGGATCACAAGTTCAAGGCCAGCCTCAGCAACTTAATGAAACTCTTAAAAAAAAAATTTTTTTTAAAGGACTGGGGATGTAGCTCAGCAGTAAAGTGTCCCTGGGGTTTATTCTCAGTTTTTTAAAAAAAATAATAATAACATAATAACAACTATAACAATACATGGGATGTCAGTGAATGGCCTCATTGAAGAGGGACTATTTGACTTAAAGGAGGCAAGAAAATGACTCCAGGAGGTATCTGGGGAAAGAATGTGCAAGCAAAGGAAACAGTGAATGCAAAGGCCCTGTAGTGGGAGGCTGACTTGTATATTCAAGAAATAGGCAGGAAGTCATTGTAACTGAATGAAGTAAGCCAGAGGGAAAGTAGAAGTTGAAATTAGGGAGCTAATGAGAAAAACCTGTGATCCATAGAAAGAACTTTGCTTTTATACTGAAGGATATGAGGAGCTATTTAGGTGGTTTTGAAAAGAGGAATGATATAATCTGATTTATATTTCAACAAAATCAGTCTGACTGATCTGCTGAGGTATACAGATGAAGCAAAGATCAGGTAGGATACCTCTACAATAATTCAGACCTGAGGTAATGATGGTTGGGATGAGAGTGTAGATGTGATATATCATCAGTTTTAGGATATATTTTGAAGATATGGAATGAAGACTAGAAGAGATGGAGAGAGACAGAAATGGAGGAAAGTTGAGAATGACTCCAAGGAGTTGGGTTTAAGCCACAGAAAAGATGCAGTTGTTATAGGATGGGGAAAACTATGGGAGAGTAGCTTTGGTGGTGACAGAATTAGGTTTTAGACATCCTAAATTTGAGATGTGTATTGGATAATCCCGGTGGAAAGGTTGAGAAAGCATTTGGATGTAAGTCTGGTGTGCAAGGGAGAAGTCCAGACTGGAGGAACAAATATGGGAGTAATTTGTATGCAGATTGACCTTCCAAAAAGTAGTTTGTATGCAGATTGACCTTTCCTATCATTGGTTGGCTGGAAACATGGTCACTGATTATGACATAGAGATTTCCTTCTAGTAAAGTCTAATCCTTTTGCTTTCCCCTTTGCCTTCTAAGGAGAAAAGATGGGGCTCTCCATCTTTGCCCTGCTGACCCTTACTGTGTTCCTGCTGCTGCTGGCAGACAAAGTACCTGAGACCTCCCTGTCAGTACCCATCATTATTAAGTATCTAATGTTTACCATGATCCTCGTCACTTTCTCAGTCATCCTTAGCGTTGTGGTACTCAACCTGCACCACCGCTCTCCCCACACCCACCAAATGCCTCTTTGGGTCCGTCAGGTAAGAGATCTCTTCCTCTGGCCTGTGCTAACTCCCAATCTTAGTATTTGGCTCTTTGTCCAGCTATCACTCCCTCCACCCACCAATCTCAACTTCCTTTTTATAGACCTAAGGGAAAATGAAGGCTATCTGGTAAAGTGTTGAAATGCCAAAGCCTGTTGGATGTTGAAACATTGCACGATTAATTATACTTCCCATTCTTATCATTTCATCGATTCCATACTCCCTTCATCATTACTACCTATGTTGGGTCCCTGGGAAACATTCTTGGGGATAGGTACAATCAGAGTGAAAGCCCAGAAACTTCTCAACCCATTAAAGAGCTCTCAAGACCATCAGATTGCATTTCCTTGTCTATTAACTCCATGGAACCATATGCATGCACAGTGGTAATGGACATGGTTGGCTTCTTTCCTTGTAGTAAGCCCGTTCCAGTAAGTGTCTTCTATTCTGCAGATCTTCATCCACAAGCTCCCTCTCTACCTGGGTCTGAAGAGGCCAAAACCTGACAGAGACCAGCTGCCAGAACCCCCTCACTCTTCTTCTCTGGGAAGTGGCTGGGGTCGGGGTACTGACGAATATTTTATCCGGAAGCCACCGAATGATTTTCTCTTCCCCAAACCCAACAGGTAGAACCAATACCCGACCCTGACATGGAGGGGAGAGGGAGAACTACAGTTCCCAGAAGACCGAGCACGAGCTTAGCGTCCCATGCTCTCGGAAGATGCTGTGGTTCAGCATCATGGGAGTTGTAGTATCCCTTCTGCGGCTTACTTTGAGGGAAGATGGTAAATAAAGCTTGGAGGGTTGGAAGAAGTTGAGGAAGGGTGCAAGAAGTTGAGGATGGCTGGAGAGGTCTCCCCTGGCGAGAGTGTCTGAAGGGCTCTTCCAGCTTTTTGGAACTGGCAGGTTGTTGGAGGCAATTGGAGCTGGACCTAGGTCACTGGCGCTAGCTATTCTAGACTGGGGCGTGGCCGAACATTCAGCTTCTTCCAGATTCCAGCCTGAACTGTCTACCCCGGACCTGCGGCGATTTATTGATGGTCGAAACCGGGCTGTGGGCCTGCCTCCCGAATTACGGGAGGTGGTTTCCTCGATCAGCTACATCGCTCGACAGCTGCAGGAACAGGAGGACCACGATGCAGTTAAGTCCAATAAGGGAGGAGCAGAGCAAGAGCAGGTCCTCTGTGACCTTGGCTCCGCCCGCAAATGCAAGTCTCGCCCCTAGCACTGGCTTCCACTTATGATTGGAAGTTTACCTCACTTGGTCCCGCCCTCTACATTCTGAGTGGTTCTTTAACTCGCGGTCTCTATCACTTGTTGCAGTGCCGGGTCTTTTCTCAGACCTCCAGTGGGAAGTCCCGGGCGGGGTCCGAGCTGTGGGGACCAGGCTTCCCTGGGGATGGGACCTAGAACTCAGAAGGTTTCCTCTGCCTACCCCTAGCTGAAGGAGGACTGGCAGTTTGTGGCTATGGTAGTGGATCGCCTCTTCCTGTGGACCTTCATCATCTTCACGAGCGTCGGGACCCTGGTCATTTTCCTAGATGCTACGTACCACTTACCCCCTGCCGACCCCTTTCCTTGAGGACTGGAAGGCCGAGCCTCAGGTTCTCGGCTAGTTGAAATGAAAGTATTTTCAAGCCTTATAACCCCCTCTGCTTAAACCCTTTCGCTAGGAATCCAGTACTTTTATTTCGTTTCTGAGGAGAGCGCTTAAATGGAACTGAGGGCTGGTCAGGGTGTCTTAGACCCACCTGAAATGCATATCAGTTTATTTGCTCTTTGGATACTTGAGGTCGCTTCCTTGGATATCAATGCCCAGGTCCCCAATGAAGTAGAACAAAGAGCACAAATTAATGTAAGCCTCAGGATGGCAGGAAATGTCTTGGTCACTGTAATATTTCCAGCACCTGATGCTGACCTAAAGGTTCAATGTTGAATGAAGAGGGAGGATTTTCTGGAAAGAAATAACACCAATTAATAGTTCCTACATTTGCATGTTTGGACTAATTTTTTTTTCTGTTTTTACCTTAATGTAATTAAAAAAAAAGGTTCTAAAAGCTAAAAAAGTGTTTTGAAGAAACAACACTTTAAAAAAATAAACTAAAAAAAAAGTGTTTTAAAGACTTCTATTCAACTTCTGGCTTTAATGCTCAAATGACTGACTGCCCTGTATCATAGTTTCCACATCTGTAAAACAAAGCTAATAATAGTATATGCCCCATATTATATATCAACAATATCTGAGTTTGCAAACTGGAGTGTTTTTATTGGTTCATGTTGTTGGCATGTGCAGTTTCAAATTAGCTCACTACTTTTAAAACTTGGATATTTCACAGAGATATGTGGATTTCTCTCTTTTCTTTTTTCTTTGTGTGTGGATATTTAACCCAGGGCAATTTATCATTGAGCTACATCCCCAGCCCTTTTTATTTTTTATTTTGAAACAGGGTCTCACTAGTTGCTTAGGACCTAAGTTGCTGAGGCTGGCCTTGAACTTGTAATCCTCACATCTTGTCCTCCTGAGCCTCTGAGATTATAGGCCACCAGGTCTGGGAATTTCTGGCTTTTCTTTGAAAAAAAGAGATTTAAGTATGGTAATGCCTGACCATATTTTCTTGTTGATGGAAACTTGCTAGAGCTAATCAGTGGCTGCTCATTCTAGTCAAGGTATTGGTGCCAGAATTCCTTAAAGCCCCTATCCACCTAACCACCTTCACTCATTTTACCTGCCCATCCCTCCATATCAGTAGAAAAGATAGGAGAGAGGACAGGCAAGGAGTTGAAGCCAATGGAGAGGCTAAGAATGGAATGAGGTCATATCTTTTATGGTTATCACATATTTTTTTGCCTCAGTTTACTTTCAGACTGGAAAAAGGTTTGAATCTGGTTTGAAGCAAGGCCATTCAAGGATACAGAGATCTTCCATCTAGCAGTTATGCACAGAAGGCTGTATGAAATGGACTGAGTTAATGTTTCTGCTTGGAGGTCAGACCAAAGTCAGCTGGATCCTAGTGCCTACAGCAATTACAAAGAAACACCTAGAGTCAACAAGCCTCACACCTACTCAATTGCTGAAAGCTGTTGTCGTAAGAGAGAGAATAGGGCTACAACTTCTAATGTAAGGATCCCTGTGGGACAAGGAAAATATGTCCCTTTCCCCCAAACCCACCAGCCACACAAATAACTGCACCTGGCATCCCACTGTGGAGCACAGTTCATTTGTCTTGTTGGTTTATTGGCCTAGAGAGTTGGACACACACACAAATGCGGAGATAAATATTGGTCAGTTTCTCTAAATCTGGGTCCTCACTACATATAGAGCTAGAGTCTGTAGAATTCTAAATCTTACGTGCTGTGGCACAGAACCGGTGGCCTTCCCATTCTATCATCACCTTTTTCCCAGGGAACATGGGGAAAGAGGGCAAAAACTGACAACACTCGATCATTTTCAAATGACAAAATTGCAAAATCCCTAATTTCCAACATCTGAAACTCAATATTCAAATTCTCCCACTCAAATACATATATTTTAATCTCCACTTTGCCACAATCTCATTCATTGCCCAGAACCACCAAATTCTATAAGCTATTTTCCTTACACATTTCAAAAAAAGAAAAAAACCTTTACAATCACAATTCTTCCAATATCCATGGGTTTTGGAATTTTGACCTATTCTGAAATTCAAATTCCCCGGTCCATCCTCAACCCCTTCCATTCTCCTGTGCCTGTTTGCCTCAGAGGAGTGTGGGTGAAGGGTACAGGGGGACTGTCATCACATCTGTCCCCTGCCTCCAGGCCTTCCTCAGTCTCTCTTGTGGTTCCGCTGTATATATAGATATATATAATTTGTGTGTAGATATATATATGTATTCTTTATTATGTATTTTTTTGCAGTTTTTCTAAAGTGCCAGAAACGATTTGTGGGAATTTTTAGTGACTTTTTTTTTTTTTTTTTTTTGCATTTTTCCCTGTTTCAAATGTTTTCCCCGTTAAAAATTGGAACTTGGTACATTCAGTAGGAAATTCTTCACTCAGACTGTGGCCAAGACCAAGAAAAGTGCAAAGAGACAGAGGAGGAAAGAAGGAGTGACTCCTCCCCAGTTAACATTCAGGGAGCCTGTCCAACACCTCCCCCTTCCTATAGGCTGGGAGGGAAAGGGGGCAGGAGGATGATCCTGGCGCTCTCCAGATTCACCTCCCTCTAAAAGCCATGATCTTGCCCTCTAGGCAATTGCCGAGAGGGCAGCCATCTTGGCCCCAAAAAACAGTAGCTGAAAGAAAAGCTGCTTTCTTGATAGCAACTTTTCCCCATTTTTAAACTACACTCCTCTAATTCCCATTTATCAAATCTGCTTCCCCATACTGGTTCTCCCCTTGTGAGCTGTTTTTTTCTGGGGGAGGGGGAAGGTGGGGAGAGAGAGAAATGTTCTTCCAATCACAGAGCAGGGAGGCCCTGTTTTCAAAGAGCTTTAGAAACAAACATTTCAGTCTTCTCCCCCACTGGAAGGAAATATAGCGACCCCTGACCAGGGTTAACTAGTGCAAATTAGGGATTAGGGACTATTTAAGGTCCCTGTACCCCATCCCTAGGCTGGGATCTTTGGGTGTGGGGAACTGAGTCAAAGATGGGGTGTAAGGTGCTCTTTTGTAGGGAAAGTTGGTGGGGATACCCCAAAGCCCACCAGGAAAGTAGGATGGTTCCCCCAAAACCATCTGGAGTGATTGGTGAGAGCAACACTAGGGAAGATGGGGGGAAAGGTAAGGATGGAAGGTCATGTGCAAATCTTGGGCTTACCCACCCATCCAACCCCCATCGTTTTTCTGGCTATTTGGTCTAGTCTGGGAGAAACCATCAGGAAAGGGGAAAAACTGGGAGAAAGTAGATTCCTTTCTCCATTCCATATGGAGCTCTCTCCTCTTGACCCCCAAATCTGATTTAGCCCAGAAGAGGCCATATGAAAAGACATGAAGAGGTGTGATCGCTTCACCTCTTTTGCCTTGGAAGAATCTGGAGCTCACTGGATTTGAGGGTCAAGGTAGGGCCAAGATTTCCCTGGCCTGGGTTGGAAGAGTACTCAGCCATGGAACAGAGGGTTAAGCTGTCCTGTCACTACCTCCTTGACCTGGATTGGGCGAGGCCACCTCCAAAGCCTAGGAGTATGGGAAGGAGCATGGAAGATCCAAAGGCATGGAAGCCAAGGAAGGCATGGCATCTCAATGTGAAGGAAATAGGGATAGAGAGACCCACCCTTGGGAAGAACGGAATCCAAAGCCATGCTCCCAGGCAGGTGAGTCAGGTATCACAATGGTCTGGTCCAGGCCCTGGGCCACAAAGAATGGAATGTTCTAGGAAGCATCTGGGGAAGGACTTAGAGAAAGCTTCAGAGCGAGGTGGGGATCATTAAGTGAGAGAGATGGTTTCCCCCTAGGTCTACGAATTAGGGGAGCAGGTTAGACATTCAGAGCTGGTGGGGGCCATGAGTAGAAATTCAAATAAGTATATTGCTCAGTTGCCCCAAGTGCTGGAGAAGGGATGGGAGCTGGCCCTGCCCCTCATGGGGCCATTCCCTGGAGGAAGATTGAGAGGGGAACCACCAAAGATCCCTTCCCAGGAGATGGGAAAACTACAATCTCACACAAAGCAGCCTGACTCCTGAGCTCCAGGGGCCCCCAAGTCCCTGCACAAGAGTGTGGCGGGACCCCTAGGGCAAGGAAGCCAGGGAGCTGGTAGTGGTAGGGGGTTCAGGGAGGGTGGCATCTGGTGAAAGGGGGATCTGGCCCTAGAGCTCACCCCACATCTCCCTTCTGGTTTCTCTCAACCCCTGCCCTTTCCCCTTCTCCCTTAGGGGGAACTGATGGAGGAAGAGTTGGGGGAGGCGGAGTTGGGGGAGTAGGGGGCGCTGCTTGAGGATTCACTGCGTAGCCAAAGACCCCTGGTAGGAAAGGAAGGGCTCCCCCACCTTTTTCATCAGGTAGGACCATGTTGAGAGCAACTGGGAGAGCAGCCAAGTTGCTGAAGTTGTAAGGGTAGGCAGCAAGGAGCTGGGGGCCATAGACAAGCGGATAGGGCTCAGGGTAGAAGGTGACTTTGGCAGCCCCCATCCCCTCTATCCGGTCCCCTTCGGAAACACCCACTAGCCCCTCACTCCCAGGTTTTCCTCTGCCTCCACTTGGTTCCCGGCCACTCCCTATCAGAGCCAGTGGAAATTCCTGCACAGGGGGATATGCATAGCTGCCCCCTCCTGCTACTGGGGGCTCCTCACCCCCTGAGATGACAGGGTCCTGGAGTGAGGCCATCTCAGAAGCTTCCTCAGCAGCAGCATTCCCACCACCTGCCTCCCCACTTGATGAGGACACTTGCATCTCCTGTGGGGCCTCTTCCTTGACATCCCCAGGCCTGGTGCCAGTGCTGCCCTTAGAATAGGCAATGACAGGTGTGGGGGTGCCTCCGGGCCGCTCAGCAGCATGCCTCTGTCCATGGCGGCTCAGGGCAGCTGCCGTTTTGCACACCTTTGAGCAGTGGGGACAAGTGAAGCGGGTGGAAGGCCTCCGTCCAGCCCGAGAGCTGTGGGAGCCCCCACTGTGGGCCTCCTGGTGCTTTCGCAGCTTCCTCAGGGTGGCAAAGGTCTGGGCACAGTCCCCACAGCGGTGCCTCCGCTCACCACGGACACGCCCGACTGGGCTTTCCACTGTGGGGTTCTCCTCCCAGCCCCTCCGTTCTAGCTTTTGCCTCCAGCGTGGTGGCCGTCGTCCTCTGGTTATCCCACTACCTCCACCACCACCACCATTGGCAGCTCCGGCCTTGCGCTTAGGCTTGTATGAATAGTAGGGCCTCCAGAGCTGGTCCTCCCCACCAGCCTTTGATTCCTCATCATCCTCCTCGTCCTCGTCCTCCTCGTCCTCTTCATCCTCCTCCTCGCTCTCCTCCATCTCCTCTCCACTCAGCTCTCCAGGACGAAGATCAGTTTCTGAGATGCGGCGCTTGACAATGGCCTCTTCCCCAATTCGCACAGTGATCTGACACAGTGGAGGTGGAGCCTGTAGCTGAGAGGGGCCCCGGCCAGGCCCTGTGGGGGGACCCCCACCCCCACCAACCCCACCCACTGGCTTGGCTGTATAAGTCAGAGTCCTCCCAGCCCGTGGATTCCGGCTCTTGGCCTCCTCTGCAGCTGTAGCTGGCCCTGCAGCTGTGGCTGGGCTGACCAAGGTGGTGGCCGGGCTGGTGGGTGTTACTGCGGGCTCAGGGGGAGGAGGTGGGTACTCTCGTTTCTTAGGGGGCCTTGGGGGAGCAGTGTAAGTGATTACTGAGGCAGCCTGGGACCCTCCTGTGGTGGCTGACCCACTCCCTGCACCACCACTGCTGCTGCTCCCATGGACAATGACAGAAGGAGCTGGGTGAGCAAAGGTGATGACAGAGGGTGGTGGGCCAGGCTCTGGGGCAGGTGGGGGTCCGGTTGGGGGGCTAGCTGGCATTGCCACAGGGGCCGGTGTGTGGAGGCTTGGAGAAAGGGGGGCCTCAGGGGCTCCCTGGCTGTAGGTCTTGTAGGGCCGCTTGGCTGCCCGCATGGGGAGCAGGCGGTACAGCTTCAGGGTATTGAGCTTGGGCTTGTAGCCTCCATTGGGTGTCTTCTCACTGGCTAGGAGGCCCGGGCTAATGCCATGGAAGGCTCGCTGGTGGGTCTTCAGGTTATAATAGGTGACAAAGGTCTCCCAGCAGAAGATGCACTGGTACCTGGGCCAGGACAGCAGGGAACAGGGCAGGAACAGAGCCACTTGAGTCAGGGGCCCTGAAGCCAGGGTCTCAGTTTCCATGTCCTCTGCAGCCCTCAAACCTATAACTCCCCCAGCCATATTTTCACCCTCCCTTGATGCTGCTTTGCTTCACGCTGCCAGTCTCCTGAGGGGTACCACTCCTAGCCTCAACTGTTCAATCTGTGAACTGGGAATAACCATACATCCTAACTCACAAAGCCTTCTGAAGCACAAATAACAGAATTAGGAAATGACTTAAGAACAAGGACATGCTATGGAACTACCCGGCATTGTTCTGAGTATTATAAGTACTGGTAAACACGCCTTTGTGTGTCCCCTCTGTAAAGGCAATTCATTCTTTACTTCCTGGCCTTCCCCACAGTGCCAACCCAGGACACAGGCAGGCAAGATGCTGTTAAGGAAGAGGATGGGGGTGGGTGTGGGCAGTGAGTGAGTGCCGGTGAACAGAGGCCAGGGCATAAGTAGACCAGATTCAGGATGACTTTCTAGACCCCACCCTCTACACCTTCCCTCCCTTATCCAAGGCCTCTGAGTGCTGACCCTGGGCCCTCCTTCCCAACCCTCCACTCCTGGACCCAGACCACTCACCTGCGCTCCCCAGTATGCCACACCTCGTGCTTGGTGCGGTACTCAGCCAGGGCAAACACCTTCTCACAGTAGCGGCACGGGTACTTCCTCCGCCACGAATGCACATTGCTATGCCGCTTCAGGCTGGACAGGGTCACGTAGGAACGCTCGCAGGCTGCGCACACGTACAGCACATGGCCACCCACCACCTTCACCACGTGCTCAGGGCCACCTCGAAAGCCCACTGGTGGGGGTAGGGCTGAGGCATCCACTCCTGCAGGACCACCAGGGCCAGAGCTCCCAGCTCCCAGCCCTGCAGACCCCCGAGTGCTGGCCCCTCGTCGACACTGGGCCTCATGGGTCTGTAGCCGCTTGGGATGGATGAAGCTTTTCCCACATCGTGGGCAAGGGAGGGGCCGACGTGGCAGCGGGGGCTGTGAGTCAGGGGCCTGAGCATCAGCCCTGTCACCCTCCCATTCTCCATCTGGCCTCGGCCCAGACCCGAAACTGTCCTCTTCAGGCTGTGAGGTGGCCATGGGGGCTGGGGTGGGAGGTACCCATGCATCGCCACCCTCCCCAAGGCCCTGCAGGCGGGAGATGCCCAGACGCCGCCCCAGAGCTCCAATCTCTGCCACAGCTGCCCCGTCCCCTCCACCACCAGGGAGTGCAAGCCGGGCACTATAGATGAAGTTGAGGACATCAGAGAAGGCAGCTGCTGGGACCCCTGGAAGCTCAAGGACCCGGGGTGGAGATAAAGCAGAGGGAGAGGCTGGAGGGGGAGAAGAGGGGGAAGAGGAAGAAGAAGAAGAGGAGGAAGAGGAAGAAGAGGAGGAAGAGGAAGAAGAGGCAGCTGTGGTGGTTGCAGGATTGGGAGCTGAGACCCCAGTAACTGGTGGGAGGGGCAGTGGGGCTGAAGCTAGCAGGGCCTCTCTGAAGAAGGGACTAGAGGCAGCCAGGACGCTGCGGTGAGCGGGGAACTTGGTGTCTCCGGCTATGAGGGTGACGTCACAGAAGAGGCCACGGAGCCGCTGCTCATTGAGCTGGCGCAAGACGGCGGGGGCATGGGATGGGTCCGTCACCTCTGCAGGTGGGGGCATGGCGCCAGCCTAGACATGGGGAAAAGAGGCCAGGGAGAGTCTCAGAGGCTGTGCAGAGGGCAGAGGCCTCTAAGACCAGGGAAGTGAACTGAGAAGGGGTCAGGCTGGTCAAAAATTAGTAGAAGATTGAGTAACTTCAGGTCACAGAAGTTAACACTCAGCCACCCAAGTCTAACCAATGTTCAAGACCAGTATTTCTAATATCTAGGGCTAAAAGAGAGGCCAGAGATACCATAGGTCATCCTAAAGGTCAAGAAGTCTATGACTTCCAAAGTCACAGACTAGCAGGTAAGCAATGGAAATCTCTCTCATTGGAAGGATAAGGAAGCTCCCACAACTACTGCCAATCATTTCCCAGAACTCTCCAGCCTGGACAAAATGGGTGCCCTTGCAGGCATGCTACCCTAGGTTTAATTTTTCCTAGATATAGTCCTCTTGGTACCCTCTCACCTGAGAGCACAGCCAGCATGGAGCGGACTGGGGGGTGGCTCAGTGAGTCCCTTCTGCCCAGCCTCTTCCTTCTGTGGAGAAACAGAAACCATGTCAGGAGAACTGAGAGCAGGAGGCAGGAAAGGGTCCTCAGGACAAGAACTGGAATGAAGGATTGTAGGGAGTGGGCATTGGTACAGTGGTCAGGGTCAGAGAGGATATCTGCACTGCTCTGCAGACCCTGATTCCTCCCGGGAACCTCTGTCAGGTTATTTGTTTAGCCTCATCCAGTCAGACCTACAAGGTCACAAAGATTATCAGAGAGGCTTTTTCTGCTGGGCCCATGGAAGTACAGAAACAAGATAATTCACATATTCCCAGTTCACTTCTATACAATACAGCAGCATAGTTCAACCCCATAGGTTCAGGAAAGCCTGTCAGATCACTTTCAAGTCCCTTTGGTCCAACCTTGGGGCTCAAAGGAAATCAAAGATTTGAATGTTTTCTTTTATCACAATTGGTACATTTACATATTAAAATATATTTGTGTAATTTTTTTGGGGGGGGTACCAGGGATTTAAGCAGGGGTAATTTAAACCACTGAGCCACATTTCCAGCCCATTTTATATATTATTTTAAGACAGAGTCTCACCAAGTTGCTGAGGCTGGCTTTAAACTCATGATCCTCCTGTCTCAGCCTCCTGATCCACTGGGATTACAGGTGTGTGCCACCACACCCAGCTCTGAGACTGGTCTTGAGCCTGTGATCCTCCTGCCTCAGTCTTCCGAGTTGCTGGGATTACAGGTTTGCACCACACCACCAGGCCTAGTCTATGTAAGCTTTCTTATTAGACCAAGCTACTAGGTATTCAAATTAGGAGATGGCCTCCTCACATGCTTCCAGCCCTATAAATCTTAGAAGGGGTTTCTGGCTAGGGTACCAGGTGACCTCTAAAGACCACTGACAAGTGCCTGTTTGTTCCAGTCTCTAAAGGGCACTGCAAAGGCCATCAGACCAAGAGTGGGGAGCCTTGGGTCCCACTTCTTATGAGACCTGTTGGCCTAGGGATTTGGGCTTAAAAAGCAGGGGAAATAAGACCCCTCTACTTCATCTTTTGCCAGAAGCCTCCACCAAAAGGAATAGCAGGAACCCCAAAGCAAGTTTGGTAGTTGCTAGCTCAGATAGCAACTCAGCTGCTTCCCCACCCCCGTGGGTAGTTTAGGGCCTTGAATTCTCATCTTTTACTTGAATATCTGAGTTTCAGTGCCTTATCCAAAGTCATACAGAGCTGGGAATAACAAGTGGGACCTGTCCATAGATTTAGACCTGTTGACCTGAAAGGTCTCTCTTATCTGCCCTCCAGGCAGCCTGGGAACTCTGGCCTCTTGGATAGTGGGATAGGGTGGCATCCTTCTGAGTGCCCTGTCCACATCGCACATACTCATGTGTGGCCTGCCTCAGGAGTTCCTCATGCAATCCCCAACCCCCACAAAATGTTCTTTTCCCATTTACTACCCATGCCATCTGGACTTAAAGGCCTTCTCCCCACAGTATCTTAAATTTTCCTGCAAAAGCCAGCTCTGATTCCTCTCCTGAACAAGAAGGAAGGTGGGTAAACAGAGGTGATATTCAAAAGTTGGGTTTTTTTTTATTTTTAACCTTTATTTCTTTATTTTTATGCAGTGCATTTGGGTTGCCTGCTATTCCTTTTGGAATAGCCTCACACATGCTAGGCAGCGCTCTACCACTGAGTTATAACCCTAGCCCCTATTCAAAAATTTTGACAATCCTGACTGCCAGGCACAGACCAGGAACTCTGTTCATGCTGTGAATAGGTTGGGAATCCTAGGGAATCCATGGGCTGTGATTAGACTTCCAACTTCCATGATAGCCCCCAGCCCACTGGGACCCCAAGAGTCAGCACTTTATTGCATTATTTCATTTGCTTCTCATTGCTACCCAGAAAGGTGGCAGACAGCTTATTCATTTTAAGGCGACAGAGGCTCAGATGTACTGTGTAATTTGCCCAAGTAGATATACGACCAGTAGCTGGACTGGGAACTGATCCCAGGAAACTTGGCTTCAAAGTCAGTGTTCCTGATGACTTCTCTACACCATGATGAAGGGCATGTTTACAGCTCCTACTGGGATGCCACTAGTCCACCTGGAGTGTTTGTGTCCCCTTCTTCTAGGTGAGCAGAAGTCAAGAGTTTAATTCCAATCCCCATTCACCCATGGCCAGCCCTGCTCACCTGCACAACCATCCATGGGAGGCTTGGTGCCTGCAGACAAGCAGCTGTATGCTGATTGCCTTGACACTTGGACAAGGCCTGTTAGGGCTTCTTAAAACCATAGAGGCTCAAAGCTGGACTGGCCCTTAGAGATCATCTAGAATTGCAGTCATTATGGTCTTTGTAGCTGCCATTTATAAATATTTATGTGCAAAATATAGTGCCAAAGATTTTATCTGCATCATATCAATATCCAAAATGACCACAGTGTAGAGAATTTCAACACTCTAAAATCATTTCAGGTCCAGGAAATATAGTGATGCAGTGATTTGCCCCTGGTTTTTGGCAGTGCTAGGGATTGAACCAGGGCCTTGTGCATGCTAAGAATATTTTCTAGCCTCAGCCCCCCTGCTCCTGGTCTTGTTGCTAACAGGCTAACTCAGGAAAGTTGAATCCAAGCTGGGGTTTGGATTCAGCTTTCCTGAGTTCAACTGCCTCATTGCTGGCCACTGTCCTGCAAGGGTTTATGGGTCGGGGAGCGGGGGTGGAGAAGACACTACCTATGTGATCATGCATAAGTCATTAAACTCTCTATATCTAAGTTTCCTTAACTATAAGGCAAAGATGATTAATAGCTCCCACTTGTGGGGTTGTTGAAAAGATTAAATGAATTAGTAAGTGGCAGATTCAACCAAAAGAGGATTGAAAATATTAAGGAAAAAAAAAACTATATGTGTACAGACTTTATTTTTCTTATCATTGTTCCCTAAGTACAGTATAGTGACTACTTACATAGCATTTACATGGTGTTATATACTATATGTAGAGATAATTTAAAATATACATAGGTTAGATACAAATATTATGCCATTTTATGAAGGGACTTGAGCATCCAAGGATGTCATATCTGTGATGAGCCCTGGAATCAATTTCCTGTGGATACCAAAGTTGTCTGTGCCTTGTCTTGAAACTCAGCCCTGGAAGTTGGTGGGGGGAAATGGTGAAAAAAAAAAAGAGGCAGAAATTGGGCTTCAAGGTAAGATGGTGAATCTCGGATTTTAAGTTTCTTATTCTTACCATTTCTCTACTTTTGACTGCTTGTGTGACCCCAGAGGTGCCACTGTGACAGGGATCTGGGCATGGCCACCAGATATGCTCCACCTCTTGTTCCCTCTGCATGGAATGTTCTTTTCTCCAGATAACCTCATACTTCAGTTTTGATTCAAAAAGTCCCCTTACCCAGGGGCCTTCCCTGGCCTACCCCCACCCCCCAAACTTCATATCTTCCTAAACTCCTTTATTTTTCTTCTTGGAACTTAGTAAAACACATTGCTCATTTATCTCTAGAATATTGACTTCAAGGCTGGCAACAGTAGGAATTTTTGTCTGCTTTGTTCACTGTAATATCTCCAGGCCTAAGCACAGTGTCTAGCACACAATGTAAGGGGTTAAAAAAATTTTAAGAGCTGGGTGTGCCATTCAGTGGTAGAGTGTTTGTCTACCATGTATGGGGCCCTGAGTTCAATCCCCAGTAATACACACACACACATACAATTCTGATAAATGAACTTGCCCTCAAAGTCTGCTTCAAGTCTGTCTATCCTCAGGAAGAAGCCACCCTCAGTGCCAAACTGAGTCAGGTAGGAGCTGGGAATGATGATTATAACTTGACCACTACTAATACATGCACAATTTTCCTGATAAGCTTCCAGGGGCTTTACATGCATTGCCTCCTTTAATCATATCCTTGAAATAGTCACCCAAAATAGGTATTTATATTCTCTTTATATTATCCCAGTTTTATAGAAGAGAAACCAGAGAGGGATATACCTTGATCAAGGTCACACAGCTTGAAAATAGCAGAGTCAAGATTTGAATTCAGGCTGGGCAGACCCCAGATGTTAAATCTTTGCATCTGTCATTCTGCTGGATCCTGTCCTGAAGGGGCCTACGGCAGGCCAGCTGGTTACATAAATCACCACACAAGGTCTCACGTGCTAAGTGCTAAATGTGTCATGTCTGACTCCACCCTTTCCCTCGCTCCCAAATCCAGCAGTCACCAAGTCTGGCTGAAACTGCGGCTGAGCTTGGGAATGGCTTTGCAAGTTTTCTCTCAACCCGCCTTTGGCCCCCAAACAGGTCCTTGTTAACACTTACATGGTCCAAGGCCAAGGCCTCCCAGCTTTCCCTCTTTAGGCTCACCTTTCCCATCCAGCTTCCTTCCCATGGAGGCAGTGTTCCTACTGGCAGTTCAGGTACTAACACAGCTAGGTTCAAAAACTGTCTATAGTCCCCACTGACTTAAGAATAAAGTTCAAACTCCTCCACCAAGTACTCAAGGGCTCTGGTCTAGCTCCAAGCTCCCCTTAATCTTGCCTGTGTTATTCTCTCTTTAAACACCCAGTATGCTCTCCAACCTCTACATGTTCCACCTCTGTGCCTTTGCCTCTGCTGAGTCTCCTGCCAGCAATGCCCTCTCAGTAATTTCTTCTCAACATTCCTCCAAAATGTTAAGATCAAATGTACTATCTTTTTTTTGGCCCTCTATGACCCACAGGACAAGGACAACCTTTCTTTCCTCTGACTTACTAACATTTTGTGCCCCTCTGGCCAGCACCCATGTTATATAGTAGCAGATCTTTAGGGTCTCAAGCACTGGGCTGGGATTCCTGAGAGTGCTACCTAAGCATACTGCTGCTACCTAAGCATACTGCTTTCCTGGTGAGATGCTGAAACTGAGGAGAAGTGTATGTGTGTGTGCATGTGTGTGTGCGTGCAGAGAGGTCCACTGAATACTCCAGGAAGGCATCAGAGCACAGCAATTAAGAACACAGGATCTGGAACTTGACTGCTTGGGTTCAAATATAGTTTTAACTTTTATTAGCTAAGTGACTTTGGACAAATTACTAACTTCTCTGGGCCTCAATTGCCTTACCTGAAAAAGGGAGGTAATCAGAGTACCTACTGTGAGGACTAAATGAGTAACAGTAAGAAAAGGCACCAAGAATGGTGTCCAATACTCAGTTAGTGTTGACCAAGTGTTTACAGCCATTGCTATTAGTGAAACCGGAAGGGGATTCTCAGTGCTGACAGAGGGCCAACAGGACCTGGCACAGGCACAGCCCCCAAACTGAAGCTAACAGTCCAGGTCTGTTTCCCAGGTCAGTGGTAGGTAGAACATAAAATTAGGGCGGTTTTACAGATGTGGAACTGAGGCTCACTTAGGCAAAGTGCCAGTAAGTCACAGAGCCACAGAACTCTTTAGTTCCAGTGCAGGGCTTCTGTTTTGCACCTGTCCCGCAGGCTTCACACAGCAGCCAGCCCCCTCCCCATCCCCAGACTGAAGGATCCAGCCACAATGCTCTCCTTCCGTATATATGCCCTCCCGCAGGCCAAGAGAAGTACACAGTGTCATGCACAACTAGAGCATGCATCCATGTGCATACACATGCCCCTACAGAAGGCCCAGGCCCCAAAGGTGAGGAAAACCTGTTCTAAGGAATCTGCCTAGTGAGCAAATTCCGTTCAAGGCCCTTCTACCTTCCTCCAGTCACAAGAGTGGGGCCCAGTGTGCGTCACAGATACCCGCAAGGGGGGCAGAGAGAGGGAGAGGGCAAAGTAGGAGGAGGAGACTGAAAACTTCATGTTTCTTTTTTCCATTTTAGTGACAAAAGTCACACCCGGTCTTTACATAAACATGGCCAAGGAGCCACACTGTCTAAGCTCACTTCCCTTGCAGGCGCCAGGACTCTCCTCTCAGTGACCCTGACAGGCTGGGTGAGCGGCAAGCACACAGACCCTACAAGAGATGTGCCACCTTGACAACACCCATGCCTCCTGCCTGCTGCCCTTGGTCTGCCCCATATTTATCTCCCTGTCTTCCCATAACAGCTCCTCTGCAGCCCCACACCCCCACTTAAGCATATAGAAGGTAGGCACTCACACACAGCTTGTGGCTGGTCTCTTGGGTTTGAGGCCCATATTGCCCTTGTCACGCCACCTCCCTCCCCACAAGTGTTTTCTGACCAGCTTGCCTCCCAGCCCAACAGCTCAGCTCGGACAGGCTCCCACAAACAACGTCACAAAAGAATCCCGCAGAGAATGTTGCAAACACACAACCTTCCTTTTGCTTGGCTGCCCATGATGCCATAAACACAACTTGCACATCCCACCCAGAACCTTTCATACCAATGCCAGCTGACCCACAGGAACCAGAGACACACCCTGGGGTTTAATCAATTCCCTTGTGATACATGGGATCTGAGTTCTAGATGTGTGGCCCCCATGCAACTCACTCCGTACAAACACACAAACCCATCCATCAGTCTGTCCTCACCACAAGTGGACCACACCTTGGCAGGACCACAGAAACAACACCCAGATGTGATACCTTAACTCAAAGGTACACAACTGCCCCTTCCAAATGGGCACATACACCCTGCATTCAGGAGCCTTCCATAAGAAGTACACCATGCCAGCTATGCAGAGAACAAGCAAACATAAACAGTTCATATGTGCAGCACAAGACATACGTGCAAGAAAACACAGGCTAATGGAAAATATACATACAACCTCACAACGAACAAACTCCGCACTCAGCGTATTGTACCCTGCTTAGAATGCCCATCTGTCACCCAAAGCCATAGGGCCACATCTTGTAAGTAATTCTGCCCCACAGTACTGGACACCCCTCCAGGCCTTCTATCTCTATGGCCCAGGCAGGGCCCAACCTGGGCCCCTGACTGCCAGAGGAGCAAACGGTGGTGCCCCTGAGCGGTTTACCTTGCCCCACAACACTGAAGGAGACACAATCTCCAAGACTCACAGCCACAACCCTGCCCCGACGGCGCGGCAGATCCAGTGCTCCTGCTCACACTGCGCACCCCGCGCACCCCGCACACCCCAACTCTGGGGCGCTCAGAGGCCCACCCCTCCCCCTCTCTGCCTGGCTCCTACGCCATCACCCTCCCAGCAGCTTGCAGCGCTTGCCT